ATGGATCGAACGAACCACAGCCCGGGAGATTTCGATCTGCTGTCCGTGATTTCGGACGAGAGTCAAAATTCGGGCCCGCGCTTCGACACCCGACCTGAATGCGAGATACAATGCGATGGAAGCGAACGCGAACAAAAAAAAAAAAAAAAAGTTCAGCTCTCTGTCGAATTTCATTCCTTTTACCTACCTGGGACATAGGTACATCACTGAAGCAATAACATGCATAAACTATGTATGGAATATGGTTAATTGTTTAGCCAGAAGCAAACGTGGGTGCACCATATTGCTGCTACCTACCTGTCGCACTTCTCTTGATAGGCCAATTGGCAGGTTTTGTGCCAAGATGTTTAACCGAAGTTGTTCAAGCCCTCCCCCATTGAGGCAGGTACCGGAGAGAGCCAACTATTCCAACTGCCTACCAAGGTATATTAATGTTGCGATGGTCTTAATTGTAGCAGAATACGTCAGCAGACTGAAATATGTCGTGCTGCTGCTGCTGCTGCTGTTGAGGCGAGCCTTGTGCCCTACGAAACCATCACCCTCCCAGCCACTGTCGGTCGAGCGGTGCTGGTAAAAAGGGCTGATCCAAAAGAATCCTGAAACAAGACTGCTATAGATCGCATAATCCGAATATTGGCTACTGCTGTGACCTTTGTGCTCAACGATGACCCTCCAAATCGATGGGCCTTCCTGAATAGGTGTAACTCTGTGACTTGTAGTTCCCAGGCCACTTGAGCGCCACTCCCACTTCAGGAAGTTTCATCTTCTCAAAGACACTATGAAGAGAGCTTATCAATCGGATCGAGCATCAGTCAGACTGAGATTGTCTAGAATGAAGTGCTGACTCTTATCATGGCCCGGCAATGCGGCACCCACGTGCCGGTCAAGGATGATGTTCATGTCAAGCTTATTCAATGTCCCGGTGTTGTATTTTGGATTCACATCAGGTAGGTCGTCGTGAATTCTAGTTTTTCACTCTGATCTACTCAGACCAAGAAGTATCCATTCGATATACCGTGTTGCTATTGCTGTGTCAAGCCCCTCCGTCACAGTCCGACAGAGTCCAAAAAGATCTTCATCGTTTGCACACACAGCAATAGTGAGCCAATATCACAATGCATCGAGGTCTTGCCAATACAGCTCATGCCAGTAACTTCAATGCCTTTCGTCACAGCTACTCGGTGCCATGAGCTGAGTTGTTGGTCGGGGGAGGAAAGTCTCGAAGCAGTCAGTCATTACTGCAGCCTCGCGTGCGCTCAAGTTCTTGCTCCAGCTCCATTGTTCTCTTGCACGCTGATACATTACGGTTAGCTACTCATATTGCCTCTCTTGGATTGCTGAGAGGCCGATTCGCTGCGGAGAGTAGAATGAATCCTAGTGGATGCCCGTTCATTCCATTTGTTGCCAATATACACAACTCTGCTTTATTACCAATCGCCCGTTGAGTCACGGCCCTTTGTGAGGGTATTGGTTGACCTATAACACCATTGGAATGATGCAGGACATATTACGATATGTAACCATTTATGCGAGCAGTGCCAGCTCTATCGGTTTCGTGGAATGCAAGTCGCCCATACACAAAGCGGAACATCAACCACATTGCAGCCGCACCGAGAAACTGTCGACTGATGCAGGATCAAATTTCCAGAGGCCCGTCCACAAACATGATCTTCTCAGCTGCATTGGTTTTCTGCACGTCCAAGTTCCTACTTTTAACGAGCACTTGCAGGATCCTCTTTCCGAGTCACAACGGTTTGGTGAGGTGTGAGCGCACAGCATGTATACACTGCACAGCTGATGTGGTCATGCTGCCGTCTGTGATCCAATACCAAGCATGTAGAGAAAGGAATCCCCATGTCAGCTTTCCCATCCTCCTTGATGCTCAAAGCATGCATATCCACGGGAGAAAGTCTGCTGCATCACCATGGGGGATTATAGCCGCCCTACCCGAGGACTCAACGTCCATGAAAGAGTATAATCATGTTCCTTTTTCTTTCTCTGCCTCTGTGTCATTGGCTAGACGACCCTGTATAAGAATGCTAGCTTGGGCAGATAACAGTAAATAGTCTCCCTTTTGCGCATGCGTTCGGGCCGAAGCTGCAAGGTCAAGCAAATAAGCATCATTCTCTCCTCTTTCCAGACGCAGGCATCGGCGGGATGGTTTTATCTTTCAATAGTTGATGAATATCTGCATGGTGGGACCTGCAGCTAGTGGGAATAGCGACCATCTCTCGTCTCCCTGTCTCTCTGTTCTTTTCACGGGCTTTCGCTTCGCTACCCCAAGGGGATTTTTTTTTTTGGAAACCTGGGGGGAAAGGGGGATCAAATGTAAGTGAGCAAACGCCTGCATACTGCACACTGCACGCACGCCACATAACAAGGAGGCGTTCGCCAAAATCCCACAGTCACGGTACCGATCTTTGGAGAGAATCAATAGACCATGACTTTTGTGCAACCTCTGTCGTACTCCTCGCAGATATGGGATCAGATCAAATCAAAGGAGAGAAAGCAAGGAAGAGAGAGAGATTGGTCGCACAAAGCCCTCGGCTGCATCCGAGCTCCAGGATATTCTTTGGAGAGACAGAGAGAGAGTTTTTTGCGTGCCAAGAGTGGGCACCGCCCAGGATGCTTGGGAATATATTGAATGCTGACTGCATACTCAGCTGGATGCCCGCTCACCCGATTGGTTCTTTGCGCCCATGTTGAAAAAAGCTTGGTACAATAGTATCATTCCCGCGCAGATAAGACCTGATATTGTCCTCACTTGGCGATTTACAAGCGTGCGGGTTCATGGTTTAGTCCGAAATCCGATTATAAACCAGGTATTATGTAGGCAGGATGCAAATTGTTATTGCCGGCATCGTCCTCGCGCCGTCGGCCGTCGGTTAAAGAATGCATGCAGACATGGAATTGTAAAGGCTCGACGGGCACAACCATTACGAACAGTTCCCCTGCTTTGGGACTGGGACGATTTCTATTCTTAGATAGAGACACCGTAAGAGTAGTAATGGTAATATCTACGGCAAGCTTAATCCAACAACAATCGCACATGGCAGCAACATATTTCATCTGCACAAGTTTTACGGGACACTTATCCCCGAACGATGAGAAGGCCTGTTTTCCCTGAGCAAGGGCAGAGACTCATTGCAAAGATCACCATATGAGGACCAAAACGTTACCGGTCATGATGTCTGATGTGTGCCCTATTCTGACTTTACCGCAAGGGGAGAAGACATGGATAACATATCTTGTGTCATCTGCGGAGTATACAGACGTTCCGCCAAGAGTCAGCCCCAGTCAGCCACAGCACGGAGCGAGGAGCTGGCTAACATACCAACAATGGGTACAGGGAGATAAGACATGATATGGAACAACCTGCCAACCTGTTGATTCGCCTCATCGTCTCCCACATTGCCACTTTTATCATGTTTGACCCCGCGACATGGTCTTGCGGCAGGATGCTGACAACTGCATATCTCGGTCCCTAGGGTCGGTGAGGCCCTCGGAGCTCCGAGAGAGGTATACGAGTGTTGGCCTTGACCTCTGGGACCCCACTGTATCGTTATTCAAGAATGTCGAGTCTGAGCTCGAAACCAGCAGAGTGTTTGAGATCAAGCGAAAGACAATGATTGTAGACCCATGATGACGATATCGGTGAGTTGCCTGTGTGTTACTTTGTAGTTTGTTGTAGCCTTTTCCAATCATCACTTTACTATTATCCGGAGCACAACCTCTTCGTGGTCATGTCAGCGATTAAGCCATACCTCAAGACATACGTCAGGGTTTCTGGATATTTGTGGTGTTTTATTCACTGCGGAGAAGCAAAAGGGAAAAGTTATAACTCCAGATCGTGGCATATTTCATAACAGATATAGGTGCACGAAACCCGTCTTTGGAGCAGCGTAGGTAGGTAGACATTGTATGTGTTTGTGCGGATTACCGTCTGTCGTATAAAATATCTGATCATCTCAATGTTTGTAACTGTGTGAAGAAGTCAAGCGCAATCTTCCTCACATTGAAACGAAAGCCATAAACGATTGAAATCTTTGGGCACCACCTCTGCATTGATATGAACATTGGCTTCCTGTGATTGCACATGTGCTTAATATATCTTGATGCAAGTCAAAAAGACTTCGGAATATTCAATGATTCGCGTCTCAACACCGCGATGATTGATGTGTCATCCTCGAGTCGTTTTTGGAACGCTGTTAGATCGATTATCGTTGCAGTGTTTATATTCCATGACGGGCACTTTTTCTGCTGTACAAGTTCATATAAGGAAACAACTGGTGTCATCCCAGACAAGTCCTATAAACCGTTCTGTCGGATTGATATTAATACTAACAGGGGCCACGAGCCAACTTAAAGCGACGCCTGAGATCCAAAAGTTCAGCATCGAGAGCAGTAACGGACTTGTAAATCATAAATGTTTGAATTTTCATCCGGGTATCATAAGTGGTTAAAACAACATGTGAAGGGTCAACTTTGAAAACGCATCAAACTATTGCCATGGTCTCTTCGCATCGGCACGGACATCAAGAGGCCGTCTCTGTGCTCTCGTTTGCCTCTTTGCCTCCAGTCTTATCAGCGGCAGCCAATTCAGCACCGAGACCCTCGAGAAATTGATCAGCCATTCTTTTGGACCTTTTTTCGCCAATCTTCTTGCGCCTTTCTTCAATCTCCTTCTTGCGGCGCTCCCTCTCGGCCTCTCTCTCTTTCCTCACGCGCTCCGTGTTCTCCCGCTCCTGCTCGAGGTTCTTCATAGCCTCGTCACGCTCCTTGTTGTCCTTGCTAAAGTGATAAAAGCCCACGCCCTTGGTGCGGATCTCCCAGTTTCCATCATAGTGCGTGTCCGGCGGCGGAGTCGGGCTCTTGTCGCGCCGGGCAGCCAGGGCCTCCATCTGATCCCACTTGTCGTCCTCGGGGTTGAAGGCGTGGGATTGGATCACGTCGCCGTGGATGACGTTTTCGGGCGCCTTGGGCCGCGCGCTCATGGCGTCGAGCTCTTCGGCGCCCAGAACCCTTCTAGCCTCCATCCGCTGCTGTCGCGCAATGTCGGCACGGGTGCCCTTGCGCGTCCGACCGTATTCGTCTTGATACTCGATAATCTCATTGGGCATGCCACCGCCACCGTCGTCATCCGAGTCGTTATCGGCACCGGAGCTCGACTGCCGATCACCGTCGTCGCCTTCCGGGTTCGCCGCGGCCCATTTCGCATCAAAGTCCACGAGCGGGCCCGTCTCGCCCTCCTTGGCAACGTAGTCGCCTCGCTTCATGGCATTGTAGAGTCGTGCTTTTTCCTCCATCTTCCGTCTCGTCCGCGCTAAGTTCTGCTTGTCTTCCTCCGTGCCGTGGACGTCCTTGATCTGCAGCTTTGTCGTTCCATCGCCAACATCTCTTGCGCTGTTGGCTTTCCGCTTTGCCTTCACAGAGAAAAGATCGTCCTTTGCCTTGGATGGTCGCATGCGGCCACTCGTAGCAGTCGAGGTGGGAGTAGCGGACGATGATGATGATGAGAGTAACGAGCTGAGTTGCGACGAGAAGGCGAGAGAACTCGACAGTGGAATCTCTTTCTTTTGTTTCTTGGCTGGTCGCTGGCCATAAAGATTGGGGTCTTGCGGCATGATTTCCGAATGGGCAGGAGTCGTAATCCCGCACTTTTGGACAGAGTAGTACTACTATGTTTCTAGAGAGATCTTGGTGGGCTCCGGGCAACGCTGAACAATTCCGTATGAATGCGAAAGAATCAAATACTATTCACAAGCTGGCGACCCTCCCGACCAGTGTCAAAAGAAGGCCGATCAGGTACGTAAACACATGAAAAACAGGGTCCACTAAAGCTCCCACTCACTGCTTAGCTGCCCAGGTGGTCCCTGTACACTGACTGCCCCGCGATCGGCCCCGTTGACGTGAAAAGAACCAAATTACCCCACGTACGTTGCTTGGGGATTTCGTCAGTTTCCAGTCAGTAACAAAAAAAGACCTTCAAGCAACAAGTCTGATATATACTCGGAACGTTGAAAATGTCGACCAGCCCAGTTTCAATTGCCATTATTGGTTTGTTGACCTGCTCGTACTTTATGTAATTGAGAAATATACAAAAACTGACCATCTACATACAGGCGCCGGCGGCGTTGGCAAATGCTTCCTTAGCCAGCTCCAAGCACTGGCTGCTCGTCGACCCAACCCCAAGCTCAGCTTGGTCTATATCTCTACCAGCAAGAAGGCCCTCTTCAAGTCCGACTACTCGGCTATCCCTATCGACTCCGCCGTTCAGGAGCTCTCTGCAGCTAGCACTGCCCCTCTGGCCCTACCCAAGGTCATCGAATATCTCGCGGCCGCTCCCTCCAAGGTCGTCCTAGTCGACAACACGAGCTCTCAGGATGTTGCCGACAGCTATCCGGCCTTCTTGCGCTCGGGAATCAGCATTGTGACCCCCAACAAGAAGGCATTCTCTGGTTCCTACCAGTTGTGGCAAGATATCTTCAATGCTGCCTCAACATCGGGCGCCAAGGTCTACCACGAGTCTTCCGTTGGTGCAGGCCTCCCCGTCATCTCGACTCTCAAGGACTTGGTAGACACTGGCGATGAAGTGACCAAGATTGAGGGTGTTTTCAGCGGAACCATGTCCTTCCTCTTCAACTCCTTCGCCCCTCTGGAGGGCTCTGGCGGAAAGTGGTCTGCCGAGGTCAAGAAGGCCAAGGAGCTTGGTTACACCGAGCCAGACCCCAGAGATGACCTGAACGGTCTTGATGTTGCCAGAAAGCTGACCATCCTGGCTCGTCTGGCCGGTCTCCCCGTCGAGTCTCCCACCTCTTTCCCCGTCCAGAGCTTGATTCCTCAGGCTCTTGAGTCGGTAGCCAGTGGAGACGAGTTTCTTCAGCGTCTGCCAGAGTTCGACTCGGAGATGGAGAGTGTCAAGACCACCGCCGAGAAGGAGGGCAAGGTTGTGCGTTTCGTCGGCAGCATCGACGTAGCCACCAAGTCGGTCAAGGTCGGCCTGGAGAAGTTTGACCGGTCACACCCCATTGCTGCTCTCAAGGGCAGTGACAACATCATCAGCTTCTACACTAAGAGATATGGCAGCAACCCATTGATCGTCCAAGGTGCTGGTGCTGGTGGCGATGTGACCGCAATGGGTGTGACTAGCGATCTGCTCAAGGTCCTTTCTCAGATCTAGATACTAAGTATTTTGTCCACAAAAGGTAGAATGCCGGAGTTTGGTTGAAATAAAAGAAATATAGATCATGTTGTTTCCATCCATCTAAGACTCGACTGATAGACCATCTATCAAGTGGGTATTGTAGCAGCATAGCCTTTGCGCGGGTCGCCGCCAATGGGTTTGGTATCAGCAGAACTTGTGTTGGCCCTGGTAGTCGTGTTTTCCACGTGAGGCGAATGCTGTCTTGAGAGCTTTGGAGATCTGGACGCTGAGGCAGATGGCGAAATGCCTTGGGGTGATGACCGGACCAATCTCCATATCCACAGGCAGATGTCAAATAAGATCAAGGCGATTAAAGGACCAGCAAAAAGCAGGCTCATCATTTTCTTTGAAACTTTTATCAGCGCAAGCGGCGATATCGAGGCGACGAGGCTCAACTCACAAAGGAAAAGACCAGCCATCCGATGAGACTCGATATCTCCGGAGGAACCGGGAGCGCACTCGAGTACCAAGCCATTGCGTCGTCGAAGAGACTTGTCACAAATCACGATTCCGAATTTGTATTTCGATTATGTGCGAAACAGGTGAAACAAACCCCCTTGGAGGCAAAGGAAAATATTTAAAAATCGAGCTTGCGGGTACGCGCTGGAAGCGATGCGTTGTCAGCGCCCTAATAGCTCAAGGTAAAGTAGCTTGCAGCAACGGCAGCGGTAGTGGACCTAATAATGGCAAAACCACCAACGAACGTTATTCAGGAGCGTAGAGATGGATGCCAAGTATGCCGACAACAATCGGAGGGGCAACGAAGTAGATGTAATAGATGGATGATCACGCACAAGGGAGCGGCTTGAGCTAGAGCCTCGTCAGAAAACAGAGGGGCACGACTGGCTAGGGCAACGCTGGATATAAAAAAAAAGAGAGAGCCCAAAAGGTTCCAAAGATTATGACGAAGGGACAACCGAATCCAACAGATAAAAAACTGGAAGAGAAAGCGGGAGTCTCCCTGACGATCGACAGGGTAGCTGCATAGCTAGTCCAAGTTGGCCGTGGGAGGGGCCATCCTGCCGGAACTTGAAGGCTTGCGGCGCTGTTCGTTCTGTTTTAGCACTGAAAATAGCGACGCCGTACCTGAACTTTAGACTTGAAATGACATTGTCTAGGCCGGTGTTGTGTGTAAGGTATGAGTTGTAATCAAACCTGTCAGCTAGTATTGTTGATTAGTTCTCTCTAAAGACGCAATAAGTAAGAGATGGAGATGGAGATTTGCAGACTCGATAGGTGTTGATCAATTGTCACTAAACATGGCCGCGCAAAGAGGTCTGAAATATATATGACCTTGTACCTACAAGTGCAACAACGGTATTCAATGTTAGTATACCTCGAGAAAAGGTACATCAAGTAGTCTTTTATTTTTCTGGTCAGAAACGATATCTATTGTACGTGTTTGACTCCTCGATCGCTTTTATTATGCCTTCCTTGATATCGTCAATAAGCTGCGTGGTCATTGCAAAAATAAGAAAACAAAAATGATAATGGGTTATTAGAGTTACACAAATGCTCGGATGTTCCCTTCCCGCATGAGGTCATCTCCATTGGCTGACCCCTGGTGCACCCCTGGCTGAAGATTCGTGCCATTTTTGACCGCCCAAATTCCCCAATAGAGTACATAGTTTACATTGTCGACCGACAGAATGCGATTCCCGTGTTACTTTGAGAGGTTGCAATTCCACTACGAGGTCAATTCCATACTTTAACTTCTGCAGCCGACTAATTGCGGATTGAGCTCGCCTCCAAGCATGGCAGCTCCGTGGGCCAATGTGCCCAGTCACGAACAATACTTTGTCCTCATCACGGGCGCAAATAGGTAATGGCATGCATACACTACCTACACACCCTATCTTCCTTCCCCTTGTAGCTCTAGACAGTCCTCCGTATCATGATACTAATACTTTGTCATATACAGTGGTGTAGGCCTGGCCATTTGTCAGCGCATGATTGACGAGTTCCTGGCCACAAGGTCCTCGTCTTCCCACCTGATCCTGATTCCCACAACCCGAAGCGCAAAGAAGTCGGCCGAGGCGATCAACACTATACGAGCCTACCTCGCCAAGACGGTCCCGCGGTCCAAGCAGCTCGCCGCCCGCGGCATCAGTCCTCGAGACGCCGCAAACCGCGTCCACGTCGTGTCCGTCGAAGTCGACCTCTGCAAGCTGCCCACCATTTACCAGGCGGCGCACCGTCTGGTCCACGGCGAGGTGCGCGATCCCACGGGCGCGATCCACCACGGCGACAATGTGGCCATCCCGCGCCTCGACGCCATCATACTCAATGCCGGCTACGGCGGCTGGTCCGGCCTCAACTGGCCGCTCTTTGCCAAGCAGACCTTTACCGAGGGCCCGGCGCAGGCCTACGCGTTCCCCAAGTTCAAGATTGCCCTGCCGAGCAATACGCTGCCGCCGCAGGACATTGGTAGAGGGGGCCAAGACAAGAGCGACGCCGCCACCACGGCCGACTCGCAAAAGCAGCCCGCCCTGGCCGAGGTCTTTACGGCAAACGTCTTTGGGCACTACATACTAGCACACCAACTCCTACCGCTCCTGTCGCGGCCCGAAGACAGCGGTGGTGCGGCAGGAGTCTCGGCCGGCCGCATCATTTGGACATCGAGTATCGACAATGAGGAGTCGCTCTTTTCCATATCCGACTTTCAGGGCTTCCACTCCAAGGGGCCCTACGAGAGCAGCAAGCGCATCACGGACCTGATCGCCGTGACGGGCGACCTGCCGCGCGTCCGCAAGGCGTCGGCCGACTACTTCACCTCGCCGGCCCTGCGCCCGGAGCAGCAGGCCCGCAAGCCGCGCTTCTACGTGACGCACCCGGGCATTGTCCCGACGCCCCTGTTCCCCCTCAACGCCTTTTTGTACTTTTGGTACTATCTGGCCATGTACGCGGCCCGCTACCTCGGCTCGCCCTGGCACACGTGCGAGACGTACGTGGCCGCCTGCTCGGCCGTCTGGGTCGCGCTGACGCAGCAGGAGGAGCTCGACTCCCTCGAGGCGCACCGCGTCAAGTGGGGGTCCGCGTGCGACCGGTGCGGCAGAGCGACGGTCAAGAAGACCGAGGTGCCAGGCTGGGGCTGGGAAGGCAAGGTTGAGGATGCAGAGGCCCTCAAGAACGACCCGGCGCAGGGTATTCTGCGAAAGCTCAAGGGCCGCAAGCTCGGCGCAGTAGATCTCACGGAAGAGAAGTTGGTAAAGTTTGAGGAAGACGCTATTGCGTGTTGGGAGGAACTCGAGAAGCTTCGACGTGCATTCGAAGAGATTATGGGAGAGCGAGCTTGATTTTTCGCAAGAGTCAAAATAGACAAAGCAAAACAAGCGGCCCAAGACATGGCTCACACGAAATGATTATAGAAACTGTAAGCATATATGTAGACGACGCTGTGCGATATAATGATGTTAATAGTAATAATATGGGCTACTACCGCCCTATAGTACGGTACAGGCATAGACCTGTGAGACTCATGTCCAACGCATATTACATTTTGGCCTTTAGCACTTATCTAACATGAACGAATATACAATCTCGGAAATGGGTGACAAAGTATTCCACTTCCCCTTGCTATATATAACTGCAAGCATGGACGAAAGGGTATCTCATTTGTGGATAAGAAGAAAGAAGAGCATTCAACGCGTATCGCTGTTAAGTCTCCTCAGCGTCAAGTTATCCTGGCGGCCAAAAAGCCCCAAACACATGGGTAGCGGCGTGACGGCCAGTGCCACTACACCTTGAAAGATCAATGCCCTGTCCATATTGTAGGGCGGGTTCGCATCCGGGCCGGCCTTGAGCGCATTGGAGATGAGGATGAAGATGGCACCGAATAGCTGACCTGTGGCCCAGCCAAGCGTACTTGTGACCTCGGGGGAGCAAGGATGGGACAATTCAATCAGAAACTCGAGGGCAACGGGAACGAGCGAGAAGGACGCGGCGCCCAATATGGCAAGAACAACGTATGGGCCGGCCAGATCACGCGTGGCCGGCATCCATATGAAGATGAGGTAGCAGATGGCGATAATAGGGACGGCGATTTTGACGGCGAGGAGGAACTTTTTGGTGCGGTCAAGGATGGGTGAGGTGATGGCAGAAGCCACCAGTCCGACCACGATGAGCACGGCGCCGGCAATGCCAGCCTCGTCGGAGGTGAAGCCATATGGCTGCATCATCTGGTTCAGCAGAGATGATATCGAGTTGAAGAAGCCGACAAAGATGCTAAAGGGAATGTAGAGGAGCCAAAACTCGACGCTCTTGCTCAATTTGCGAGCAGAGGTCAGGAGCGATTCTTTGACCGTCTCGCCAGAGTGAGCCGGTGGCGTCGGGGGCTTTGCCGGGACGAAGAAAGATGGAATGCAAATGACGGTAGCAATGATGCTGACGTAGAGAACCATGGAGCTGGTATCGGACGCCTTTGTCACCATAAAAGGCACGATGAGCTGACCAAGCGCACCACCAAAAGGATTGGCCAGACTCATGATGGCGGTCGCACCGATGCGGCCTCGGGGGGTAAACCAGAGATCAGAGTATCTGGTCGGGGCGCTCAGCACAAACGACTGTGAGGCCCCGATCAGAAGCTGGCCAAACATGACGACGCCAAAGTTGCCTCCGTCGCTCGAGTGTGAACCGGCATAGCGAATCCAATTTCCCACAAGCATCAGCGCGGCGGCTGTCATGATGGAAATCTTGGGATTCATATGCAGCATCCAGATGGTCAAAGGACTGACAACTACAAAGATGAAGAAGAAGCCAATTGATAGCCAGTTGATTACCGACTCGTCCACACCATAATACTCGGCGGCAAATTGCGAGACGGGTGAAAAAGTCAACCACTAATAACACAATATTGGTCAGCACAACTTGCAATGACAAAAACATGTATATCTACTTAGCAGTGGAAGAGTATAGCTTGTGGCGGAGCCGGAGCTTAGCACTAGCTAAAGGCGGTCGCATGAAGCTATAATCTATACGCCCATATGTAACTCCAAGCTGCGCTCCACCTGCAACGAAGCATATTGTAATGACTTCAGTAATGATCAGGATTTGAGTAGAAACCGTGGACAGTCACATTTGCTGTGGTTCTATAGCTAGAGCAGCAACTGATAGGACACAGCAAATGCGACAAGATGCGCCTATACTCGGGTTGAACAGACGGAGGAGAAAACTTGTCAAACGACTTACGTCCCAACTGACAATGATGTTCATCAAGGTCAGTATAGCGAGTCCGAACCATCGCTTCTTGTAAACACGATATTCAGCGGAACCAGCACCAGCGCGCTCCGTGATACTCCCCTCCTCGACGGTGCCAGCATCGTCGTCATTGTCGTTGGCCGCGACACCGCGCCTACTACCTCCTCTCCAACCGCCACGGTTGTCGCGATCCTCGTCCTCATCGCCATCGCCCAAGTCGCGGGCAGTTGTGGTCGTGTGCTTTAAATCATCGTCGAGATCCTTGACAGAAGAGGAAGACTTATCAACGCCGCCGTCGCCGTTGCTGCTCCGACTCATGTTGTTGAGCGCATATCCCTGTGGGGGAGGCTTGATGTCGTCGGCATAGGCTGCGTGGCCCATCTCGGCGGCGTGGTTTTCTTTTTTTGTGAGCAAGCTGCGGCCCCGGCTGGGGGCAAAGCCGGAAAACCTAAAAACCCTCTCAAGGACCTCAAAGCTCTTCCCAAGGTAGTGAGAGTGGGATGCTGGAGAGACTCCCCAGTTCCCCAGAGAGTTGGACGGGGAAATAGTGGAAAAGTGCTGATGCGCTGTCTTAGCTGGGCGCGCGCGCACGGGCAGGTTAGTTACCTGGGCCTGTGCAATAAGGTTGGTAGATCTTGGGGGTGGGAACTGGGGGGTGGGAAGAGAGCAGCAGTTAGGATAGATCTTGCCGATCGGGGTCGGTAACTTCCAGTCACTATAGTAATCAAGAGAACTCTCTCACAACATGACCTGCAGCTCCAAAACGTCCCAAGCATAAGATCAAAGGTTGAAAGACGATATACTATGGCGCGACGCAGAAAAAACAAAAGGAGGGAAACCCCCAGAGGATCCCCGGCCCGACACATTCATCTCTCTTTTTCCTCCTTGCATCTACCGCGGGTCTTGTCTGTCTGGTGATTGATTGTCTCTCCCCTGGCTTGGGGCGGCACACACCTACCTAAACACTTGCACCCCGGCCTGATCCAGACTTTAAGGGACCATTAAAGCAACCCAAGCGACCCTGGCAAGTTGAGAGTGGTGCAACCTTGCCCGCATCTTCGCTTACAGCTGATAGACTCCAAAGCAAGCGACGAGAAGAAGCAGCCACTCTGGACTTTCTCGTCGGGGGTAACTAATCAGTTCATCTTTCACATGACACTGAAATGGCCATTGTGCAACCGAAATCTCCAATATTCCCCCTCGTCTTATCTTCTGGTCATGCATAGGTAATCTAGTGGATGTGGTGTACGGAGTACCCATATTCATGTTGCTGGTTACTTCACTTTTCGAGAATCAAGTCCTTACGTACGTTGTAAGCATATCACAACAATCAGCTCCTGCGGGCTTTTTTTTTTTTTTTTCTTGGGCACGTGGGCTTCGTGTAACATGCAAAACCAAGAAGATTAAGACGCAGGATTGATTCACAGCTGCAGCACCTGTGAAGCTCTCTTGGGGTCAGCGATTCCTACTGGAGTCTTCTGGCTGAGCCGCACACGGCGTGTCCTCTGATTGGCAGTCTACTACAGGTAAAAGACCTCGACAACCATATGTCCCCTAACGGCACTGACTATTAATATATTTGAGAAAACTGGACATGGAGTGAGAAGGAGATGCCATCCTTTATTTATTGAGTATCTAAGAATGTGTCAGCCCCGGGTTGAAGTTACCGCGCATCAAAATACATCGATCAACTGTTCAGCATGCTTCACGTTACATCGCTGCGATAACTGTGCGCCACAAGTCAGTACATATAGTAAACGAGCAATCTTTGTTCAAACAATTATGTCTGTGGTTGACTTTCTGCACCCTCAAAATGTGACATAATGCCTGCTATTCGACACTTGTTTTATAAGAGTTAGTGATTTCAATATACATGTACTGCAGCTTCTCGTGTCAAGAGATCACGGCATTTACTAAGGGTATTGACTCTCATCCATTAGGCCCTTGCATGCATGAAAGTAGTGAGTCCAAGCCACGAAGCCAGAGGCCTGATTGTTTGCAAGTAATGAACCACCGCCATCAAAATCTAGCAGTCGTGATCTGTGTATACGTCTAGTCGCATGGGCTCCAGCGAGAAGTGCAGAGCCGCGCCTACCAAGGCGACATGATAGCAGTGGGAGAAGTCTAGTATTCTGGTTCGTATGCAGTGTATGATACATAAGCGGCCGTGCTGATCATCCACCATGCTCAGCAACGCCGTATTGCCAAGCCGCAAATCGTGTTACATGTCCATGACGCGGTGACCGAGGTCGCCATCGTGTTGGCTGGAGTTCTATTTTTGCCCCATCTCTGCCGGCACCGCTCTTCTAGAAGGTGTATATATGTGCCGAGTATGGTGTCGACGCTTGAGGCGAGTCTAAGCCTTGGTGATTTATTTGAGGACGGACCAGAGCTTGGGGGCAGCACATTGAGTAGCGCAGTGTGCGAGGTGGAAGACTATAGGCAGCCATGTCAGTTTGTGCTTCTCTGGAAAGCCAAGAATTGCTAGCTTTTCTCCTGCTTGTCGTCTTTGCAACTGTTCGACTCACATTCTTCAACGCAGTCCTCGCCCGCGCCCTCACCGGACTCCTCGGCCTTGGTAACGCGCTCAACACACTCGTCGTAGTGGTGCTTGGCGGGTGCGCATTGCTTCGAGTTCTTGCACTCTGTAAAGCTGGGTCAGTTTTGGTTCTTACGACCAACAGGATAGGTGGCAAGTGTCGAGTGCTCAATGCCACCAGATGCGCATTGACTTGTAATGCACGGTCAGGCGGGTTCACGAACCTTCCTCGAGCTTCTCCTTGGGGTCCTGCTCTTCTTCCTCTTCCTCCTCTTCTTCCTCCTCTTCCTCCTCTTCCTCTTCTCCCTCTTCCTCCTTCTCTTCCTTCTCCTCCTCTACCTCTGCAGACTCCTCATCCTTGGGCTTGTCGGATTCCTCGTCCTTGGTCTCTTCCTTGGGCTCCTAGAGCTCGAATTAGCTATGCCGTCTTGCAAATGGCGTCGAGGATTGAAGCATTTGCTCAATTGGCTTCACAAATATGCACCCAATGCAATCGCAGCGGCAATTGGGCCAATGAAGGCGACGGCGGTGAGGATGATGATAATGACGATGCGGACGAGGTGAAAGATGGGTTCCGTACCTCTTGAGCAGGGGCCTCGGCCTCGGCGGTGGCCCAAGGCGCGGCAGCCTCGACCAGGTCAGTGATAGTATCCCAGAAACCCATTTTTGGCAAGAATTCTGGCGCTGTGCAGTTGAGACCAGATGTCGATGTTAGGATGAGAGTGGTTTGTGCTGATGACGCTTCTGCGGCGGTCTTCGGGTTTCGAGCCACGGAAAATGTTGATGCTGAGCAAATTGAGGCATTTGGTTGGCCGGCGGCTCGGAAGCCAATCACGTGATGTCAGTCGACCGGCTCCACCCAAGATTAGAGCTCGTTGGTAGCGACAGGGATAAGGTCACATATCATTGGAAGTAGCCGCTGAGCCTCTTTGTCTTTCTTATACAAAGTAGGTTTGTCTAACCTTTTCTCTTGCCATAATCGTGATACCGCGTCTTTGATGAGAATTCTTAATCTGTAATCGCCATGTCAAAATCATGTGCATCTTTAATTTCGTGTCTTTACACCGCATGTTCCAGGAACTCAACTTGAGCGCAATGCTCGCTGTTTTGTCACGTTCAGCGCAGACATGCCTTTACTATTTCAGTCACGACAAATTGGCAGAGGGATAGGACAGAGAGCACGGGTATCATAGTCACTTAACAGCTACCGCTATTGCTATAAAGGCACTATCACCACCCCATCGACGGAAGCTTAAAAAAAAAAAAAAGGGAGCAAGGAGCCACAAATCGTGACATGTCCGGTTAAAGACCAGATTATTGGTTCAACCCACCAACATCATTTCAGTATCCTCGTTCTGCATCTTCCCGTTGTCGCTCATCGAACCTCATGGCGATCGCTTGTGCTTGCGCTTCATCGTAGTCTGGCGGGGGTTCGTTTGGCAGGGGTTGGTTATCTTCCCTTTCACGAGCTGCCTCCTCGGCTCTGCGTTCCAGTTGGGCTTGGCCAGCCAGTATCTGGCTCTGCCGCGATGATGTTCCTTCTCGGGGAGAGTACTCAGGAAGTTGCTCAGCCGTCACGGCATTCAGAACGTGGGCATTCCCCGTCTCCCTGGCAACAGAGGCAGCATGAAGAAGACGTCCCCGAATGTTTTCATACTTCAGAGCCCAATCGCTGTGACCACCGTCGTTGAAAGTAAGTCTCATCGTCACTCGGGTATAATCGGCCGGGATGTTGCCATCGGCTTCTGGTCTGACCTCGGCATCCCAATAATTGGCACCAAAGCCTCCCCATGATGCTCCAACCTATTCAGCTTAGTGAGGGTGCACGGCACGAGTCGAAACTATATCCATAGAAATGCACCAGGGGTTCCACGAAATAAACATGTGGGAGCCGTGATTCAAGCCAGAAAATGTACTCTAAGGGGGGAAATGTCAGCATTCAACAACGGTGGCTCAGCCGTAGGGCTACATGACGCGCGGGGGCATCATTGGAGCTGTAACGTACTACTCGGGAGTTTTCGGTCTTGAGGATCAAGGTAGAGAATGACTTGAACTGATCGGTCGGCTGTGTTGGGAGAAAGACGAGCTACAGACAGGACGATGAGCATCGGCATACAAGTGCCACTAGAATGACCAACCCAGTGACTTACTCTCTTGCTCGTGATATAAGCCACGCCGCGATCGCACTTGAGTGAAAAGGGAGGAACCCCAGGAGACGGGGAAGGAGACGAGACGTCGAGTGATGTGCGGCCTCGGGTCTGGTGCAAGATTTCCTCATTCGGTAGCGGTTCCAACTCTCCAGAGCGTTTTAGCATCACCCAACTAAGGATCAAGGACGCATCAGTATCTTCTCACCAGGGATGGTCTGGTCTTCCTCGGTCATGGAGCGCAGGATATCTCCATGTTGCATCTGGAGCCCGTAGTCCATGGTGCGAAGGGCCGAGGGAGTATAGAAGAAGGCTTGGAACTTGATGCAGGGATAGAGTCTCGAGGCCGGGCTAGGGATATGGTGGGATTGATTTGTTGGACCGGCACGATAGCAGACAAGAGAGGGTACAGGTAGGGCAAGAGATTGCAGCTAAGAGTGGATTCATAGACGAACGAAGGAACAAGGACGTACATACTTTATGGACATTGTGGGCAGCTACTATGTATGTATGGACCAAGGGGATGAGCGTTAGGTGGCCCGGCGTTAGTGATTCTCAGTCACTCAGCGATTCTTTTCGCGCAGTAGCAACGTCGGTCTGTCTGTCTGTCTTGCTTTGCCAGCTTTGCCAACTTGCCTGCCAGCCAGCCTGCCAAATGAAGAATCTCGAACGTGCCGTGGCAATCTAGACTTGTTATTTTTTTCAAAACTCGAGACCAGGGTCCTTGAATCGAAACAACTGGCTGAGCTGGAATAGAGCCGAACGAACAAGAAAGGAAAAAAAAATTATACCAGCACGCGGAGCGGCACGAGGTGCAGGTGGAAGTCTAAGCAGAAGCGGGAGATCTTGGAATGAGATGTGGGCCGACTAGTGTAGCTGTACAGTCTGACCGTGCTGCCGGGTTGGAGATGGAGTGAGTGCCAAGTGGTATGGTCAGTGGTCAGTTTAATGCTGCTGCTAGCTATGTATGAGTTGGTGATGTACTGGATGTACGGTTGGATGAATGAATGGATACAGGTAATAGATGTGGGGGGGAAAATGAATATGTGTGTTTGCCAGGCCTCTTGCAGGTGTGGAGCCTTGTGTGCAGTGCAAGGTGCATATGCTCTTTTTGCAGCCGCTTAATTCTCCTTATCCCCTCTTGCGGCGACTGATGATGATATGCTAAGCGGTTCTCAGCTCAACTCTTCTGACTTCATGGATGGCGCAATACGGTAGCCAGTTTGTTTCTCTCCAGGTCCAGAGTGTGTGTTTGTGTGCGCGCGTGCGTATGATTTGTGCGTTTTGTTAGGTACCAAGCAGTGAACAGCAAGCGGAGGAGTCGGGGGAGAGAGAGACTTGACAGGCGTTGATCGAGGTCAAGGCTTTGCAAGGTTGAGAGACGGAGACAGAGAGGGGCGAGTTGATGCCCTGGCCACACAGTCTTAGGAAGGTAGGAAGTTAACCAAAGTAGCTTAGGGTGACTCGGCGGCGTTCAAACGGTCAATTTTGGGGTGCGCAGGGGGGGCCAAGCACAAGTGCACAAGGTGACAGGGGACATTGTACAACTGAAGACCATTGATACTACATTATCAACTTATGAAAGTCTTGTGAAACCAGTGTCAGTGGTCAATGTAGATATACTTTTACTGAACTATGTTGTATAATTAGGAGATACTAGGAGGAGAAAGATAACCCTGAACTTAATACTTGTTGTGAAGGAAATTCACTACGTACCTCGAGGTAAGCAATTTTGGTAGCGTCGTAGTTAGATTAGTAGGTGATCGCCTCCCGAAATCTCTCCTCCAAGAAAAGTCCGGCGGATATGTTCCTACTACCTTGCTACCTCGTCGTCCTACATAGTACAGCACTTTTTCACCTAAAGACAAGGCGGGTCGATTCTTCCAATCGGGAAGTGTGAGGCGCTGGCCTTCGGAGGACCCGATTTTTTGCTTGTCACAGCCGAATGAGTCTGGGCTTGATAGTACACGGTACCTGACCAGTGGACGTTACGGGCACCCGGGTAAGACTACCAACCCTACTGCCTAAATAAAAGGCATCGGACAATATCTGCAAAACTTGCATATCAGATCCTCCTAGAATCTACTCTTGCAGTAAAATGGGTTGACCAGATAGGCTGTTGCTGGTTCTGGCTTCAGGTAGTACTTTGTAGTTAGTTAATTAGGTAGGTAGGTACCTGGTCAGGTATGCTTCCTAGATCGAGGTTTTCCCTTTTCTCATAATGACCTGTGATTAGTCGTCGCCGTTCACTCTCGACTTTTGCTCCGTCAATTAGTCGCCCACCTCGCAACTTCTAAACGCGGCGTCTCTCTTCGCTGACTGTTTGGCAAAGAATAGACCATGAACGGATGGAGGAGGAGACTCCTCTAGAGATTCATATACAGTATGCAGGCGCCTAGGTACATACCTAGGTCGACTAGGAATGGGTGGCAAGAAAGCTTGATCACTTCTTTGTGTCGGAGTAGAAATCAATTCCATAGGTACGATATTGTAGCAGCATGAATAACAGCCTACTTTGATGTCTTTGCCCTTTCCCGCACATGTCCAAGTCATTCATTCATATGAGATGATTTCATTAGTACGATAGTCTGCGTATACCGGAGCAAGGTGCAAGGTTGCTGTGGAATTCGAGTGCATTATTGAGGGCACATTAGCTCGATTAGGATCTGAACCCTTGAAGATATTTACCAGCGCACTGGATCAAGGATCAATTGATGAACAATCTCGCATACGACGACCCGCATGTCTGACTCGTGGGCTTCGGTCAAGACGCCATGATATGATTGTGGACAGTCCCATTTACGAATGAGAATCCAAGCAACAACGTCTACGTCCCGGCCATTCGGAGTCAAATGACTCAAGCGACCAGCCAATGGACATTTCTTTATTCAACAAGAGCCCACGAATGATGACTCGTATTCTGAATATCGAAGCTTGCTTGCTTTGGTGGTTGCAAGAGTATATGCAACGGAAGCAGATGATTAATATTCAAAGGTTGTTACCAAGTGGATTGTGTGCAAAGCGTAGTATTTCTAGTATTTGTTCAAACGTTGTGGCAGGCATTCCGGTCTCTAACAAGCATAATGCATCACGGGCATAGATACGCACAAAAGTGCATTGAAAAAATATACACAGAGTTCACAATTTGAATACAGAACCATCCACTGGTGATTGGTGAGTGATCGTATAATTATGTACAGAATGACTAGAAAGGGGGGGGGGGGGGGGGGGGGCGGGCATGACATGTGATCTGCACGTCGACACTGACACAAATCGTTCCTTCCAGTGATCTCTCGGACTTCTTGCAGTTGTTCTGACGCACGTATTATCAGCCTCTGACGGAAGGCGCCTTAGAGGCATACCTCCAGTCAGCCATTGATATCCTTCTACTTGGTCTACGCCGATTCTTGACATTTCTGGGGGTCATCGTATTCTTGTGCCAGGCTGCCACAGAAATGTCTGCTGCAAAAGGCATCAATGTACATTACGGAATACCATTCTCCTGACCACCACACCCTCCTCCCTTTGCAGGGATCACGGGCCGTCACGACCCCAACTGGTTACGAACAGCTCTATCTTCCTTGACACGTTTATTTCCAGGTGTATGCAAGCTTTCCATCTCCACATATACACCAGTTAGCATCTGGGATACATAGGCCAGTCATCACGGCACACGTGCAGCACAAACTATCTAGCAATAGGAAACGCCCCGCCAATGAGGTGCCAGGATTCGATGATATAGACCGGAACATTCCAACAGGCTTCAGGGGAAGTATACATGCACAGAGTCAAGCATCACGAATGTTCCATGGCCCTTTACTTTGCAACTCGCCACTTCTCTGATGCCTTGTCCTGGTCCACTCAGCTCGCCAGAACAAGCGTTGGTCTGATCATGAATGGTCTGGGAATATGGTCGGCCGTTGCGTTTCCGTCGGCAATATACACTCACCGATTGGGTTGTTTCTAGCATGCAACCAACTATCTACGTCTCCCGATATGACTCTCTATGGCCCTGGCAGGACAGCATCCTGGTGTTTGGAGGTTCTCGACTACCCGTCCAAGGAAGTGTCATCAGAAGAAAAAAGCAAAAAAAAAGGAAAAAGGAAAAATCCACACCTCGATGCAATGCCAGTTTGCCTGGTAAACGGATATACTATATGCAAATTGCACTTTCCGTGGGACTGCAAAGCAAAGCTTATGGAAGGGATCCAAATTCAACCTTCATCTTCTCAAAACTCCCTCAAAACGCTACTGATGGATATCATTTAGCAGTGCCTCTGGTCAACCGCATCTTGCTAGCTCTGATGATTTCAAGCATGCAAAGCGAAACCATCTGTCTTTTCTTTTTCCTCAATTTACCCTCCGAGTGGTACTCTCATTTTGAGAACAACCAAGAAACAACACACCGATAACCAAGCTGTCACACTGACTCGCATTTTGATCGGCTTCATTCACGCGGCAGATTGAACGTCTATAACCCTGGAGGGCCCACGTCTATTGGCAGAGTACCCTTAATAAGCTTTCTCTCCGAGAATGTGCTCGAGGTGGCTGAGGCGTGCCGAGGGACCGGTGAGCTGCTGCGAGGCGAAATACTCGTACAATCTTCAGGAAACCAGTCTTTTCGCCTGGCAAGAATTGCCTGTTCATTGGGGGCAGCAACGACTCGAGTTAATGGGAACGTTGCTGATCTATTCTTAGGAGACTCCGCATGACACCCTTCTGTTTCGTTGAAACCTTATTTCCCAGCTCTCATCACTCTCATCAGTCTTCCCTTGGAAGGCTGTCCTCATTATCCGAAAAGGTTGATCACCACCAAGCTGGTGTTGCCCGTAGTGTTTATCGTCATTCTATTTTCGTGGCCATGGAAAGTCAACCATGAAATGCCGGCAATAACAGAAAGCAAGAAAAAGGTCATATGAAAGCTGTCTGTTCTGAACCTTTGACAAGTAAGTCTTTCCATTTGCAATGAAACTATTTCAATACTGCAAGGTTTTCTGCACGGAAATTCTTCTCGCAAATCTCTCGAGTTCACCTATTGCTTTTTCTCGAGCCATGTATCCATCAGGCATGTATATCGTACCGAACATGGCTTATCAAGTTACTTATAGGCATCAACGTGGGTCTTGTCAATAAGTCACCCCGTCAATGCAGCTTGTAATGGTAATCGTGGGCCTCCGCTTTTTGCTCTGAAACGAACTACATATGCATCCGGCCAGAGATAATCCCAATAACCTATCCAAGTAGGGCGGATCTCGGCGGCATGACAGATCTCGCTGTGATGCGATAATCCACGAGTGTGATAACTCACCGAGGATCACATGGGGGAACGGTGGCGAGAGAAGCAGGCACTGGATTTCATGTGCAATGATACATGAGCAGGAGCAGGTGATCCGGATTTTATGCTGAATCTGCATCCCACAGCTCTACCTCGGCATGCTGATTCGATAAGAGGCTGCATTCATCTGAGTGGCGTGGCCGACAAGACAATTGACGAATCAGCAGCAAGATGTGTATGAAATAGTGACAGATGGGAGTGTTGTTGGAAGCTCGTCTCTGCTCTTTGCCTCTCAGCACCTGGACCATGCTGCAGCAAGGCAAGCCGATGGACTCCCCCATGTATGGAATGATAGCGTTTACAGACAAGACTGCGAGTCACTTCCACCGGGAGAAAAAAAAAAAAAAGAACGTGGGCTCCTCGGTGACGGGACGGACCTTGGTGCAGTTCCCAAACGCGTGGCGATAACAAATAATTTCCTCCTTCCCCCATGTGGCCCACGCCTCGCCCGTTACACAACCGCCGAGGCCCCCCAAAGCGTTACACAAGCCAAAGTATGCCAAAATCTCTCTCTGCTGGCAATATGCACAAGTCCAAAAATACTGACAACTTATGGCTGAACCTACTTTGGCTTTGTCCTCGCTCACCATTTCAGCGTGGGTGCATGAATAAATTCGACATATACACACCCAGAAGACAAAATCCTTGGAAATATATTGGCTCATGCTGTCAGCCTCTGAGTTGATCAAGGACGCGCACTTTGCCCACGGTCTGTAGAAAAGCAATTTTATTCGCCGTTGTTTGTGGATCATGATGTGGTCGGTGAACTGGGAGGAGAAGAAAAGGCACTTCTACATTGAAAATCATCAGGACTCGGTTATAGTTTCGTCATGACTTTTGTTTTCCCCCGTCAACCAACTCTTGGTGGTACATAATAGTAGTAATTGTAGGCTCGACGTTATGAAAAGAATGCGCGAATCATGTATTCATAAACCAATCATCATGCAATCATTAATGCTGAGAAGACCATACCCTACAAAGCTGAAGTCCCATTTCCCCCCTGTGTCAACTGGGCCTCTTACAAAACTCCTTTCCACCTACTGAACCACTCATTCGTCTCCCCCTCCCCTTCTCTATCTTCTGCTTCTCCCTCATCTTTCATTCTCGTATCAACAACTTCGTTTCACATGACATTACCCAATCACATTGGGGTTAAAGAGTGGAAATGAACCTGAACACCCAAAAGCCCCATAACAAGAAAAATCCCTTAGACCGCGCAATATACCCTGACAAACTGATCCGTATTGGAAATGCAAATGCAGAAAGAGAAGGTAGAAAACAAAGGAGGGAAGCTGAGCTGAATGAGCTCCTTATAAACATCCGGGGTTCGACTTGTAGATGAACCGGTAAAAAAACACCAAGACTTGGGCAAACAAGTCTCGGCGCTTCTTCTTCTACCTCCTTGGCTTTTTGGTTTCCTTCCTCTTTTTTCTTTTCAATTTGTGCTTTGTAGACGCCGTTGAGTCTCCAGGTGACTCTTTATGCATTGTGCAATCGTTTTTCCCGTCTTTCCTTCAACAACTCTTCCCATCGTGTCATCAAGCCTTGCCGCTAGGAAAGCCAGTCGTCCACCTTCTTTGCATCGGTCCTCATGGCATCCAGCGCAAAATCAAGTCTCGGGATCTCAATCTTGGGGGGTGGTGCCATATCAGCCTGCTTCTTGACCTTGTTAGGGCTGTTCTTGGCAGGACTTCTTGCCTCGGGGGGCGGTCCATATCGCACGTCTCTGACCTCCCAGCCATCCTCACATGCAGCTGCAACCCAGGTTCGGAGAGCATCGTGAACGCCTGGGTAAAACTTCTCCTTGCATAGCCGTAGTGAACCACCCATGCACCGTTCCCAGCCTGAGATGCGCAAGAGTTCACGCAGCTTGTTTCGCTCTTCCAAGGTTGGCGTACAGGCCATGATAGCATTGAGTAGGTCGAGATGCGAAGCCAGATAGTTGGTAGCGTCCCATTCTACACCACCCACATAGGGCGCGGCTGGGACAGGAGGTCGTTCCTGGGGAAAGTGTGCCGCCATGTAGGCGAGACTGTCCTTGGGCTGCATCCCCGCGGTCTGCTCCTTCTCTCGGGGCAAGAAAACAACATTCAAGTGATGCAAGAAAATCCAGAAGACTTCTTTTGTGACACTCACGGCTTCCTTGTTCCAGACACGATAGGGTCTTTCACGGCGCATGTCGAGGACAAAATCAACGGGCCGCTCATCCTCCTTGGGCTCTGGGTCACGAAGGTGGCCAAGCACAGTCTTGGCACGAACAACACGGTCTTCGGTAGGGGCCGACTGTATATAGGTGAAGAGGACAGACGTAATGATTCCACGTGTGGTGAACTCGCTTGGGCCCTTCTTCTCTGGATCAAAGATTAGATGCAAAAGGGCAGGGAACAACTTGGCCTGGATTGAGTGCAGGTACTGCAGTGCCAGGCCCGTTGTGCAAAGAGCCTTCAAGCACAATAGGTTTTCGTGAAGGAGAGCATCCTCATGTTCCTCTCTGTGAAAGAGAATAGTTAGTATTACTCTTGGGGCAGTGCACGTTTCTTGATTGTGATACTTACCTCCACTCAACATCCATAATGCGATGGAGAAGGCCAACAATTTCCTCCATGCCGCCCTGCCTGACAAACTCATCTGTCCAAGCCACAGTCTCATTACGCAAGAGTAGTCGTAACTTGTGAAGCTTTCCAACCTCGACCAGCTCTGGTTTCTGTACCTTTCGCAGGTATGCCACAAAGTCAGCTGGTCCTTGTTGTGCCTTGATCTTGGAGAGTATGCCTCCGCCTGATCCTGAGCCCGACGATGAGGGCCGCTCACTGGTGATACTATCGGTTGATCTGCTTCGGAAATGTCTGCCCAGTGTTCCTTCACCCCTTGATTTTTTTGTCGGCGAGCTTGTTTCAGACTTCTTGCCGCTATTTCTGGAGAGAGTAAAAGTCATGCCCCGAGACTTTTTCTCCTTGGTACCCTCTCTAACAGAGCCGTCGTTTGTTCCAGAGTCGCTCTCGTTAATGCTCGGGCGACCGGGGGCCATGTTGGTTTCGGCCCAATCCTGGCGGATAAATTCCATCTTGATTGTGTCGGCAAGATTTCTCATCTTGTATCTCTGGTTCTCGGGTATGTTTCGGCGATCAAGCATGGCTTCAAGGTGCTTATCTATATCTTTGGGGTCGATTACGGGCTCGGTCTTGTCGACTGGCGACTCCTCCGACTTGGAGCCAAGCAAGCCCCTGGTCAAGACTTTCAGGCCTCGCTGAGTCTTGGAAGGGGAGGTTGCCTTGATGCTGCTGTAACCCGACTTGACGTCGGAAGGTCGAGCGTACTGAGCATGGTACGATTGTGGGCGCGCCTTTTTGGCACAGCCTGTAGCAATGTCACTCGACGACCGGTCAACATTGCCGCCGCTGGCCTGCCTAAAGTAATCCATAGTTGTTCCTGGCCCCTGCTTGTCCAATGCTCCGCTAGCGAATTGCGCGTAGATCGGGGGTCGGGATTGTTCCTGGGGGGTACTGACGGAACTGGGTGGCGTGCGATTTTCTTTGTCCTTCTTTGATCGTGTGTAACTGTCATCGCTGACCATGGTATGCAGGTTCTTCAGAGTCTTGGGGCGGCTGAGGATGCCTACAAGATTGGTGGCCGATTTTGTCTTCTTGGGCTTGTGGAGAGAAGCTTGGTCTTTTTGGGGTCCTTCTCTTGACAACTTGTCTTCGTCGTCGGCGGCAGGAGGCTTTAGAGAAAAGGCGCTGGTCGTTTTTGTTGGAGATTGGGATCGCGATCTGCTATCAGGTTGCTTGTAGGGTAACCGGAGCGGGGGACCATCGACTCTGGTGTTTTGTATCTCGCCGAGTGCGTGTGGTCGTTTCGAGAGGTCTGGCGTGTACATCATGTCCATGGATGGGCGAGTGAGAACTTGAGGCAGGACGGGCGCCCGTAAATCAACGGGCGGTAGGGCCGTACCATCCGAATCTTTTCGGCGGTGGATGAATGACTTTAGCACATTGGACTTGGAACGCTGGTGGCCGTGTTGGGGCGGTTCGGGCGGTTGTTGTCGAGCGACGTAGGGAGCATTTGCGGCTGCAGTCGCGTTGCCGGTCGAAGCCATGGCTGGCGTCTGCATCCGTATCGTACTGTGTCGTATTTTCCCGGTGCTTCTGGGGTTATTCTTCTCGTGTGGTTTGGTGGAATGGTGGCTGAGACCCGTGGAAACTTTCTCAGCAGAAGGAGACTGAGAAAGCCCAAGCCAAGAGAATTGGCAGAACTACAATGACTAGAGCATGTGGGAAATGTCGCAAGAGGAATGTGTTTGAACTGGAACTTTAGCAATGTGAGAAAGATGACGAAAGTATGCAATTGTGAAGAGAGAAAGATGAGGAAAAGCGATGCAGCTTTCCAAAAGAGCTCCCCGGACAGACACAGGTGGATAGACGCGATGGGTGAGTGCGTTTGTCTGTGCGTGCGTGCTTGCTTGCTGCCGTGTGCTATGATGAGATTTGGGGGGAAAGAAGCTGTGAATGAATGCCCAAAAGGAGGTAGAGGCAGGCAGCAAAGACGGACGGTCAGATTGGGTTCAACGTCCGCTTATTGGCAGCTAGCTGGCTAAACCCAATCAATTGTGTCTTGATGTCGCAACTTGTCGCTTTGTGCCCAGAATTTCCCCGATGATCGGTAAACAGCTAACCGGTTGCCCGGCAACGACTCAGCTATTAGCGGGGGGGGGGGCCTAGGTGCGCTGCCTTGGGTATTGGTGGCCGGCCCCCCTGTACCTAGCTCGTAGTGCTGGATGGGCTTTAGGTGCGCCTCCAAATGCCAATGGAATTGACTCGGGCTGTTCCGTACTGGGGCGAGCGCGTCACTTCGCTTGTCAACTGGGTCCTTTCTATCTTATCAAATCTTGACTCCAGGAATGCCAAGACAAATAGATTACGATTGTTTACATACTAGCACCGAGTAGTCGTAGTATAATACGGAATGCTAACCGATAGTCACGTCGTATGATCCCGCCAGTATTCTAGCAGGCAAGCCGCAGACTCCTCATATATTGACCGCCTTTGCACAAATCTTCACATCTTCACATTTTTCGAGAAACCTCCCCATACTCTGTGCTCAAGATCGGTCGATCAAACTGGATTTCCATGGTCTCCATGTCCGCAATCCACCCGCCGTTAGTTGTCACGGCACTAGACATTTGGACTATGGGAAACTAGTACATTACTCACAGAATAACCTTGGCTGATGACTGATCATCTCGACCACACTAGAACCAATAATACCATGATCGTGAATGATGGCGGGGACATATTACTGAGTTCTGAAGTCACTAGGATATGACTGCAACTTTGATGCGCTTTTGCACAACTGCGACAGGTTTCCGCTTGCCGATTAAGATCTGGCTTTCACACATGACTTGATGTGGCACCCATGTTCATCTGGTGCATCTACTCGACCTTTATATCATTCTATTATTCACCTGTTAATATTTCCAGCCACAACCAACAAATGAAGTCTATCTGTAAGGATCTTGGATATATGAACCGAAATATCGTAATTCTAAAAACCACATGCTGCTCGTTGTTCTTTGCACCATAAATTCGTTAAATCATTTCGTGTATCATCGTAATCACCATTTACCCCATCCCTCATTCAATCATTTCTCAATTGCTCTCGGGAGAGGCCACATTTCCAATCCCATCATGTTTTCCGTGCTCTCCCTCGTATGATTTCCCGTACGGGGGAAGAAAATAAACCCCCGCCTAGGTCGACGGCTCAGCAATAAAGGTATCGTGGTCCCAAGGATCCGAGTCGTTATTTACATGTGCCTCCTCAGCTTCCCACGTGTCCTCGTCTTCGTCACCTTGTGAGACCTCACCGTCATCATTATCGTTCCATGTTGTAGAGGTAGTAGATTTTGCTGCATCTATTACGGCGGCGACGGCGGCGGTTGTGAAACTGGCATCCTCGCCCCTGGTCAATGCCGAGTGGGAGTCAGGTGGTGACTGAGGGCGCAGTGGTGCTGCTGCGGCTAGGAAGGCCATGATGGAGAGGAGGAGGAAGTTGAAAAGGAAGTTCATTTTCTTGTTTGTGCAGAATAATGCGATATCCCTTTTTTTGTTTTTCCCTTCTTCTTTCTTGCCAATCTTCGTCGTTTATTTGGTGGATCAGACTTTCTTTGATTGGTGTATTGATATGACAACCGAAACAAATTCTTTCGTATGCAAGATGAGTGAATGAATTGCGAATAATCATGAATGATGGATGAAGAGGAATTGAACGCATATTGGTAGCTCAGGAGTATTCGATTCCTCTTATACAGCCCTCGGGAAACGGCAACCCACCTCCACCACTGAAGTCATCCACGCAAAAAGAAGATTTCTTTTCCGGAGGGCGGAGGAGAGAAGGCGCAGTAGCAAAAAAGTGTTGGCGCTTGACGTACCGTGTCTCATTCCTCCACCACGTGTGACAATAGCAATGGTACCTGACATCATGCCGAAAGGGGGAAAAGAAAAAGAGGGCGAGTCCCTTCTCCCCCTTCCTGTTGCTCTGCCACCACTTTTGTTCGATTGAGGGGTTGGGTTGACGAGTCTGAGACCTCCGTAAAGACTAAAATACTACCACACGTCTATTCAGCCCGCCCCAGGTTTTCTCTGATGTACGTTGGAAGTCCAGCTTTTGAGGAGCGCCTCGCGAGGGCCACGGACAACCGGCACTGGGAGGCGCCTTACAGAAAGGCAATTAAAAGTCGGCCCCCCGAGTTTCAGTGCGAAAATGACGACGCGTTATCCAACGTGATCTGTCAATTGAAGCCAGTCTCGCAGATCTCCTCGTTTAGAACTCTATGCCTATAGCTGCTTTTGCTTTTTGCCGCATACCCGCTTGGCTTTGCGCCAAGTCGAATTATACCTGACCAGACTGAACTGCCAATCGATCAAATAGATGGTAAAACCACGGGTCTTTTACGGACATGTATTAATTGAGATTATACAAAGGAAACTTTTCATTCAAGTTGGCCTTGTGGATGATGAATAAATCAAGCAAATATTTTATTTTCCATATCAAGCGCTTCAAGAAGAAAAGAAGTTCAATCAATACGACGCTACCTTACGCCCTCTATCCAAATATCAAGGTGTTTATCTCTAGTAATGCTATGAAACGAAGCCTCTCAATGGCATGATACTAATCATTCCAATCCACTATGCATATAATTGGAGATGACATGCGACTACCCAAACTTTTGCCCATTTCTCTACCAACTCATCAACCCCTTTTCACGATCGAAACCGCCCCTCAATTGTGTCTCTGGTTTCACCACCTTGCCCTGGAGTATGGTGTATTTGACCAGATTCTCGCAGTCCTCGGGCTTGACCCGGGCGAGCCACAAACACTGCGCAGCGCCAACATCGCCCTCTTCCTCTTCCGTCGCCTCTCCCCCAGCAGCGTCTCCATTGTTTTGCTTCTTTTCCTCTTCAGACGTTGCCGTCTCTTCCACTTCGGCCACCGGCTTCTTGGCCTTGAATTTTCTTGCTCCTACGGGGAAGATTGTCGGCTTCAGGTCCTCGCCCGCCGCCACCAACTTGGCCCTCTCCACGGCGTCGACGCCGAATGCGTCGGGTCGCCGGTACACCATGACGTTGGCCGAGTACTTGTGCCCGCCGACGTGGCTGATGAAATAGATGCCAACGCCGCCGGGCCGCTCATCGTCGAGGTCACGGAATAGGCCCAGGGGGCGGAGGTGGCGCTCCAGCTCCTTGCGCAGCAGCGGTGCGCTCTGTCCGCACCGGGCGTCGCGCGTCTTTTGGCTGCACAACAAGATGAGCGCCGCGTGTGGCGACGGCCGCGTCACCAGGTCCCGGGCATCGGGCGCCGGGGCGGGTATCGTTTGCGGCAAGCTATTGTTCAGAGGGCTGAGCGGGCTCGTATTGGTTGGGGCCTGGTTGATCCAGTCGACCAGCCGAGGCACATCGGCGGGGAGGACGCCCTCGACTACGCGGAAGGCGGGCAGGACCAGCACCGTGGTGGGCTCGCTGTAGTCGGAGGCGTGGCTCGGGGTGGGTATATTGCTTGCGCTGAGCATGAGGCGGCCGTTGGTGGGCTTGGCGGCGCGGCCAAACGCCTGCATAACAGAGCCCTTTTCATCCTCGACGTCGCGCACCCAGTCCGACTTGCCCGTGGCCACCAGCACGTGGGTCGCCCACCCCTTGACGTGGCCGTACAGCACGTCGGACTCGTCAATCTTGAAGCCGCGCGGGTATGAGACGTGGCACGAATCGCAGTCGTGCTCGCAGGCGTCGCCATCGATCTCGGGCCTCGTTACCGTGAACAGGTCGTTGACCGAGGCGGTGCTGGTCTTTTCATTTTGTGGAGTCGAGGGCGACGAGACGAAGCGCTTGGCGCTATCGACCAGGTTGCGGAGGCCCAGAGCCATTCTCTGTTTCGCTGGCGGTGTCGGAGTCGGACGGTGAGAGGTGGTGGTGGTGGTAGTAGATGTAGCAGGACCAGAGGAGGAATCCTTCAAGTTGGAAAGGTGATTGAGAGATGACGACGGCCCCATGATGGTGGAACGGCGACGACGGGACCAAAGTGTCCACCAATATATTTACGTAGGATTGCCTAATTTTTATGGACCCTTGGGGATACCCTATGCTTATCTGATCCGAGTGGACGAACTCGGTAACCGGGACGGTTCCACCCCTCTGGTTCGGCAGGCAAGTGGGGGAATACTTTGCCCGTCCAATTTGAATTGTGTTGTAACGCGGCGACGGTGAATGGATGATTGAGTCGCAATGGATTTGTTGAGATTACCGGGGTGCTGGATATAGTTCTGCTATTATGAACGTTCATTAATTTTCCTCTTCGACAGCGAATCTTTGAGCGGAGCGTTCTTGGTCTTTTGACTTTGTACATACTCTATCTTGTTGACTTGGAGAAGACGTACCTCTGTATCTAGGGGAGACGGTTGTGTAACATAAAGAAGCTTTTACCAGCGCGAATGATTTTCATTCCCACTTAAAAGTCTACTCGATCTTGATGCAAGAAAATTCTATGACTTGAATGATTTCAAACAATGACTGTGACTTTTTATTCAAAGATATATCGTCAAATCGTGTTTAAATCCGAGATTAGGCAGTCGTACCGGTTCGGACGCGGCAGTAAGTCGGACATTTCGACTTCGCCGACCGCCGCTCGGTCATCGGATGCCAGGGAGTTGACGCCATGGTCAACGGACTAGATGGGGGATCGATGGACATGAGGTAGGCAGATGCCAGAAGCAGATACAAAACAAGAAACAGCGCTTCACCTAAAGCTTGTCAAGAAGGAGAGCCCTACTCTTATAGTCAATCACTTTGAATGGTAAAGAATGGATTGCCGCCCTCGCTCGGAGAATTGACCACCTCGGTTCCATGCGATCTGGTCCGCCGCGCCGACCCCGCGGTACCTGGGCTCGGACAATAGTCAACTAGCAGCAGCTTATACCTGGTTTATCAGATCTCTCTGCGTGTTCTGAATGGTCAATCATCTTCCCCTGCCAAGACCTGCCCAACAAGCTGCAATGCGACGAGACAACACCATCTTTTGATGCAAGGCCTCACTTAATCTTCTTGTACGTGCCTCCAAATACGATGCCGTACAGACAAATGATTATGAAGGAGATCCAATATAGAATTAAATGGCCATATTACGTAGACCAGAGTAGGTAAAATATACTCTATACCAAGCTGATCCGCCGGCTATATTCCGTAACGTCAAAGCTTTCTAAAGGAAACGCAGGCCGCATGCACGCACTGCTAAACTACCGAATTAGTCCGTCTTGTCCGACTCGGCATCACTGAAATGTCCACCACCACCACCACTCTTGCGTCTTCGCATTTGCCCTCGTTCTTGCATCGCCTGGCGGATCTTGCTGGTGGCCTCATCAAATCCTTCTTTCGAGTCCAACGTTGTGAAACCGCTGACCGGAAAGCCACCCGATCCAAAGCCGCCGCCGCTTGAGCTGCTCCGACTTCTTGACCGGGATGGCGGACGCGTGGCGAACATGGCAATCGAGCCAATGTTGGAGAACGACTCGTTACGTGGCAGAGCACGGCTCGACGCTGTCGTGTTCTTACGCGAGAGCATAGTGGGTGACTCGGGGGCATCCATGGACGCAAGGTCGGGTATGCTGGTGGCTCCGCCGGGGAAGACGGGGTCTTTGACCATACGAGAACGCTCAAAGTCATCGTACATGTCGGGACCCAGGTCATTAATGACCGTCACCACTTCATTGGTCAGCTCTACGCGGCGTTGGCGCAGTCTCTGAATGCTGTAGCTCGACGTTGGGCTCAGCGCAAGCACAAGGGGCCGCAAGGACTTGGCAATGTCCATTCCAATCTCGCCGAACCTAAGGGCTGCGAAAGTGATGAGGGGAAAGATGATCCATCCGATAATGAAGACAGCCCACCACCGAAGCCAATCGGGCGCATAGCCCCAGCCGCGAGTGTACGCAAAGATGATGCAGTAAAAGTTATAGACAGCCGGCGCAAGGAATATGGCAACCATGATCTTCCAGGTGGCCATTACATCTCGACCAGCAATCTTGACAGTCGATCCAGCAAGGGCCGTCTTGGCCTTTTGAATACTAATGTACTTGGTTGTGACGAAGACGGGGGAGAAGAGGATTAATCCTGGAATGACACCAATCGAGAGAACCAACAGCTGGACCACCCTGCTAATGAGGAGCCAGATGACCTTTGGCAAAGATCGCTTAGCCGACTCGAGTTGATGGTCCTTGATGCCGAGATAGCGGAGTTCCTTGTTGTAGTTGTGCAAATTTTCCAGAAGCTTGATGATGCGCGGGTCATCCTTGAATTTTGAGAAACCCTTTGATAGCTTTCGGTTCAGTTCGACCACGTGTGTCAGAGGTAGCTTTTTGCCCGTCGTGTATAGTCTCCTGGCAGTCTGAATGCACATCAAAGTATCGTAGTCGGGTGAAGATACGGTCACCGTGTTCAGGGCCACAGTGCACATGTCCAAGAGTCGACCGATGGCTTCTCGGCGTTCATTGTTCGAGTACTTGTGAACCAAATCGTTCGGCACCTCAAACGGCGCACCGAATTCGACCACAGCTCGCGAGCGAAATTTATGAGCATGGAAGTAGTTCATGCCAACCGGGACAATAGTCAAACCACAATCGGGATCTTGTGCGAGCGTACCCAGAGCCATGATGGCTACACCGGCCTTCAAGGGCAATAGCTCAGTGCGATCATGGCTGCCACCCTCGGGAAAGATACCTACACAGCCACCAGACTTTAGACGGTCGAATACTGCTTGGTAGACTTGGGTCTGGTCAATGTGGGGCGCAAGCTTGTACTTGGTTCCCTTGTATCCGTCTTTGGGCCCCTTGACGTCCTTGTTGGCGAATTTGCCATCCTGATCGATATCGTCCCGACCGGTCAACTGCTGCATGGGAAGCTGGCCCGAGAAGGCGCGCTTGGTGCGGATCTCCTCGGGGCCAATGATCTCTGCAATATCAACGCTGGAGCCAGATCTGCCCTTGACGGAGGGGAGGAAGATCATGCCGCCGACCTCGGCTTCCTTTTCAAAATCGGTACCGATACCTCGAATAATGTTTGGGTTGTTGATGGGATCGGGCAGGTAAATGAGGCCCTTGGCGGGTTTGGCGCTGTCTTGAGCGCGGCCGACAGGTACAGAGCCAGTCTGCCGCGAGCCCCATCCTACGAAGCCGTGCACCGATTTCTGGGCGATCAATAGGGACACTCGGCGGCCGGCCTCGTTTCGCAACGTTCGCTGCAGAGTAATTCCGTCGACAAACTGGTTGTGGTGCGGCGCCGCAATGAAGAGAACCGGGCCCTTCTTGGGCACGTACCAAGCTCCTCGGTGAGATACCTCTCGAAAGAACAGGTCGATGATAATCGACATGACCCAACCAAATGCGTCATATTTCCAGTTGCTCATGGGGTAGAGCTCCTTCTCAGGCTTGACCTGGCTGTCGGGCGGCATATTCTGCGCCTCTTTCGACTTGACTTCCGACATGATGGCAGATGGCGACAAGCTGAGACGAGATGATGCAGAGAGCTCGGTCGAGTGTACAATCGGCGGACTGTTGGATTGTGCGTCGGAATCGCTTGTAGGCAAGCTATGGCTATGACGTTGACCGCCGCCTTGGGTAGCGCGCCGGAGATAAAGTCAGCTGCGCGTCGATATTGGTGTTTCCACGTATCGGTGGACCGCCGAACAGGTAAAGATAGGAACAATTAGGCGTGATAATAAGAGATACGCAAAAGCCAAAGCTCCGTCTGAACTCAGCAAGACTCAGTCCGCAGAGTGACGTGAGCTTGGGGAGATGTTGTGGGCAAAATTGAACTGGACCGCGGGTCTCATGAGAAAATAGCACGAAACTTTTTTGTTGGAGACGGGCCAGTAGGTATCGCTCAGGTGGGCTGCTGCTGCTCCCCGTCTGCTATGACCGACCTAGACTATCTCCATGTACTTTGTCTTGCTAGAGGTCGGGTTCAAACAATGAGAATTGGCAAGTTGAAAATACCTGCTGGTGATTGAAAGAATTTGTTCCAATACGAGACCAGTAGCTATCTTTCCTGTTCGTGTCTTTCCCCTCTCTTGGATTTCTTCTTTCGCCTTCCTTTACGCCTTCGCGGGACCCAAGCATCGTTTTCCTTCGCTCAAATTCCAAAATAATGAAAAAAAAAATAGCTGCCGCGCTCTCTCGTTCGTCGTATCCTGGTCGGACTTTCACAAGCTTAACGGATCGCCCCCTACGACCAGCCGCCCAATCACCGAACCCATGGGGAGGATCTACAGCGGGTCTCAGCCTGCGCCCTGACCGTTTTCGGGTTGCAGTACTCTCAGTGTCATTCTCGGAGTGGAGGGGTATCGAAAGCAGGCAAAGAGGGGAGCTCTCGCGGGCATGGGATTGGATTTCCACGACCTCCCCCCGCCTATTGGAAGCTTCCCGGTTTCCTTTAGGGCAGCTCATACAGCGTCTGTAGCAGTAAAACGATGCCCTAGAACCCAGACGACCTTTCTGCCAAACTGCTCACCTGCAGTGCAAAGCAATCCAACGGTTTCAACGGCGTCTTATCACCTTTTACCCCTCATTCAACACAAATGCCTATTCATTGTATCACGAGCTCGTTGCACGTCATCTGTCAAAGAAACCCCCCAACAAAAATCCAAAACAGAGAACATCATGCACAGCAGTTAGTCACGAAGCACCTACGCCAGCCAGTTTAGTTGAGCTGTATGTATGTCGTATTACATGCTGCTTCGCTTAGTAGCCGCGTCGCCCGCAAGGTCCATTGTGTAAGTAAATAAATGCAACATGCCTTGTATTCCGTAGTGGTAATGTTATTATTATGGGTTCGAAAACCCAATTGGACTTGGCTAAGGTTGCGTGGCTTGCCCACTGGGGCAGGTCCGGGCGCCAAGCACGCTTCGGCACGGCGTCGTCCCATATCGAGCAAATATCGCTCCAGGCCTCGCGAGCCTGGTTCCTGGAAACGGCTTCATGGGCTGAAAGTTGATCCCGAGACATCTGCTCTATGTGGCCAGACGGACATCACATCTACCTGTTCCATGCAACCAAGTAAGTACCTTGCAGTAAATTTGGCCGAAGACGCTCGTTCAAAACAGCGGAATTGAGCCGCACGAATCGACGTTGAGCATGTTGCGTATGTAGATTATAACTTGCAATCGCTGGGTACATATCTTACAATGCATGTCTTTGTATTCGTTATGACCAATATAATTCAATTCATCGCTCGGGACTTGACAAGACTCTGGCAGATATCCAGGCTTCCTTGTACATCAGAATGCGACTTGCGTACTTTCACATGCTTGCCGGCAAACTTCAGATTCATTCGACAACCTGGCAATTTAACATTATGGGTTGTGCTTTAATTAGAGCCGTTCGTGGCCTTGCGTGGGATGGCATTGCTTGCACCCTCGTCTTTACAACGTCCGAGCTTTGGAGAGCAAAGTGTTCATCATGATGTCTTGTTTAGAACTGATTTCGTAAGTAGACTCGGTCCGTAGCATCACAGAGTAGTGTAGGCGCCGACCAATATCATTGCGGAATGAAGTCGAATCCGCCACAAAAGACGAATCTCCTGCCACTCAAGAACGACCTTTGCCCTTGTTCCGCCTTCCCTTCTTTTCGGGCACGCTGGCGGTACCCTCCTCCAGCTCATCTTGAGCGACCTGACCCTCGGCCTCCATCTCCTTCAGCTTCTCCTGCCCGCTGATGAACATGGTCAAATCATGGTTCTGATCTTTGAGATCTGCATTCTCCAATTCCAGGCTCTTGGTCTGTGCCCGGAGCGCCTCTAGCTCCTGACTGATGTGCTCAATCCTGCCCATCAGTCCTTCGCTGACCTTTTTCTCTTCCTGGAGGCTTTTGCCTAAATTTCGGGCCAGATCCGTAGACTTGGAGACTCGAGAACGCTCGCGGTCGATATCTTTTTCCAGAGAAGGCAGTGTCTCTTTTAGAGTACGATGTTCTTCTTGCAGTTTACCAAGTTCCGCCAATGCTTGTGAAGCTTGACTTGCAGCCTTTTCTGCGGCCGCTGCTGCCTTGGCTGCTTTATCCGCCGCCTCGGACAATTTGGATTCAAAGTAGACGCGTTGACTGTCCAATTGACTGGTAAGCAGATGTGTATACTCGACACCAATACTCTCGAGTTTGGCTCTGGGAACAAAATCGTCGTCCTCACTGCGCCTCTGAGGACTGTCCTGACGGTGACCCGGAAGCTCCACCACTTTACCATCCCCCTTCGTCCGTATCAAGCGATGCACCCAGGCATCTTCCATATAATCCCAGACATATTGAGTGTCTAGTTCAAGGGCAAAGGTGTGTGCTGTGTCTTTCCAGTGCTCCTTCGCATGTCCACCCTTGTAGCGACCGCAGCCCACATTGCCGCAAATCAGACATATCCACAAGTCATCGGGCGAGTCACACACTGAGCACAAATTAGACACATGTGACCCGAATGGTTGAAGATACGGATCTTCAGGATCGTATGACGACGATGAGTGACCACGGCTCATGCCGTCCATCTCATTGAAAGCAGCCAAGGAAGGATTCGTATGCCGACAGACAGGGCATCCAGAGCCTCTCCATTTCTGCAAGCATGAACAGTGAAATACATGCTGACAGGGTATCGTCAGCAACCCTGTAGTGTCGTCCATACGCTCGAGGCACACGGGGCATGTTGGCAACTCGATTAGATCTGGCGTTGGAGGAGGAAGGGGCTTGAAACCAGATGATGTGTTTGATGGTGTAAAAGGGTCATGACTGAGATCTGGAAAGCTCTGGTTCGGCCGGGTGGGCGTCTCGAATGTGACAGACTTGATACACGCCACATTGCAGGTTTCTGGCTCGATATGGTTGAAGACTTTGCCATCGAAAGCGTGCCTGAACTGCCTCGCTCGCTTGCTGTCCCGAAACTTCAATAGCACTAAATATCTGTTCATGCGACCCGTCATGACCATTCTGTAGTGGCTAATGTCGTCTCTCCATTTATCACCAATAAAGCCCAAGAAGTCGCTTGCCGTCAAATAGCTAGGCACGGCCGGTATACACAAAGTGGTGCAATCGACATCTGTGGTTTGTTCTTGGCTACTACGAGCCTCTTCCGTGCTCCTAGCATTTTCAAGCTCAGGCGACTCCTCGCCGTCCCGGTAGAGGTGTACAATGCCCCAGCCGACCTCGGTGTTTTTTGTTTTGAAGGGAACAAATCTGGCCTTTGTAGCCTTTCCAGCACTGCTAATCGATGGTCCAACAGCCACGGCAGCAGTGTTTGAGCTTGATGGTCCGTCGTCGGGCATTGTGTCGTAGTTGCCCTCCCGAGGTGTGCCGACGTCCAGACTCTCAATGCGCACACGACCAAACCGCCAATCTTTGGTGGCAATCTCGGGCTTGATACCTGCGTCGGCGTTTGGAGGCGGATAGCTTAGGGTGCGCTGTCGGTGCTGCCTCTCACTGGGCGCACCGATAACCTCTTCGTCTTCGCTCGTTACTGGTCGAGTGGTTATTCCGCAATCGATTACGCCAGGTTTCGTTCTCTCGTCTATGTTCCCGACCGTATGTCGTACTCGGTACTCGTCGGAGTAGGTGGTCGTCAACGGGTGAGCTGGGAGTTCGCCAAAGATGTCGGAACCTTGAGGAGGTAACCAGGTTGTGTCTGCCCAAACCCCTGAGCTGCTTGCTGAACCCGACGTCTTTGTTGGATGCGCGGTCCGTTTCTCAGGAACAGGTGTGGGATAGAGCTCGAACTTGAGATGGTAAAAGTACGCCGGCATGTCTGATCAAGCAATCGAGACTCATCAGAGTGTCGTGTTGCCCGAGAAGAAAAGATTTGTTTGCAGCGGAGTCGAAGTGTAGTTTCAGGGCGGTGAAAACAACTCGACTCCAGGTAGGAAGCAGAAGGTTCTAGCAAGCCGCATATTTTTGCGGTTCAACACTTAGGCAAGAAATACGAACAGGGAAGAATTCATGTTCAAGCAAAGCTGGAAAGAATGAGTAAGAGTTCACAATGTGGGGTGCCGGATCCGTCAAGTGGGTTGTTCCTGTCGCATTTTGTGGTGCCTTACCGCGACTGGGTCTACTAGACGCCGCCATCTGCCACTTACATAGTATTCACGACGTCGACTAATCCTGTGTTTTGGCTTCGACATATCACATTGACATACACATTTCACATTGGTCATATTTCTCTCATAAAATGGGGGTCGAGGTTGTTCCTCAATGCATTCATTATGTACACCAATGCTGTTGGTGTCAAGATCGTAGTCACTACGATCCTAATGGATATCTAAATGCCATGCCGCGGATTCACCGCCTCATGACAACGGTTGAAAGTCAAACGCCAGATCGTGAAGTTGTAATATCGTGTCCAAATACCCGCGCTTACTGACCACCACGGAGGCGGAGGACCAAGTGCAGGGTTGACTCCTTCTGAATGTTGTAATCACTCAGAGTGCGTCCATCCTCCAGTTGCTTTCCAGCAAAGATAAGACGCTGCTGGTCCGGGGGGATACCCTCCTTATCCTGAATCTTGCTCTTGACGTTGTCAATCGTGTCTGAAGACTCGACCTCCAGAGTGATTGTCTTACCCGTCAGTGTCTTGACAAAGATCTGCATACCACCACGCAGACGCAGCACCAAGTGCAGAGTCGATTCCTTCTGAATGTTGTAATCACTCAGGGTTCGGCCGTCCTCCAGCTGCTTTCCAGCAAAGATAAGACGCTGCTGATCCGGAGGAATACCCTCCTTATCTTGGATCTTACTCTTCACATTGTCGATGGTGTCTGACGACTCCACCTCCAATGTAATGGTCTTTCCCGTGAGGGTCTTGACGAAAATTTGCATACCACCACGCAGGCGGAGGACGAGGTGGAGGGTGGACTCCTTCTGGATGTTGTAGTCGGAGAGAGTGCGACCATCTTCAAGTTGCTTTCCGGCGAAGATGAGACGCTGCTGGTCCGGAGGAATGCCCTCCTTGTCCTGGATCTTCGACTTGACATTGTCGATAGTATCCGACGACTCGACCTCGAGGGTAATCGTCTTACCGGTCAAAGTCTTGACGACTGCAGGCAATGTTAGTTTGATAATTCAAGAGAGAAGAACGAAACATTAGTGCTTGTTGTACTTACAGATCTGCATACCACCGCGCAGGCGGAGGACGAGGTGGAGAGTGGACTCCTTCTGGATGTTGTAGTCGGAGAGAGTGCGACCATCTTCAAGTTGCTTTCCGGCGAAGATGAGACGCTGCTGGTCCGGAGGAATGCCCTCCTTGTCCTGGATCTTCGACTTAACGTTGTCGATGGTATCAGAGGACTCCACCTCGAGGGTGATGGTCTTGCCGGTGAGGGTCTTGACAAAGATCTGCATCGTGGCAATAGTTGTGTAGTGTCGACGATGAATGTGTGTACTGCAGAGTGTTGTTGATGATTAGAGATGGAACACAGAAAATCTCCGGTCGATGGGATGAATGGAAGAAGAGGAAGGGGGAGAAGAAAGGTTGGATGGGAAGAAGGCGGTGGGAGAGATGTTTAAGTACTGGGATGACCAAGGAGTTGGGAAGCACGCACTTGATCGGTCGGTCCTGAGGCAAACAGCCGATGGAAGGAGCGGTAGGTGCAGAAGAAGGCGGGCGCAGCGCAATGGAAGTCTACGGAAGGAGGCGGGGGAGGGAAAGGGGAGGGACCGGGCTGGCTTGGGCCAATGACGAGGTGCGACAAGGCAGTGAATCACCACAGTTCCAGGCCCGGGCGCGCGCTTGGAGGCACTGGAGGGCAGTCAGTCGAGAATGCGCCACTTCTTTGCGTATGTAATCAAAAGCCAGTACCTGAGGCAAATACTGCCACCTCTGTTGCATGAGCCTTGGGAGAGGCTGAGTGACTCAAAAAGAAGGAGCTCAAAGATGCTAGCCAAGGCAGCCGTTGACTAGAAGGAAACAAGCAAGCACTTACCTTGGAGATGAATCCTGACGAATACGGTTTCTGAAATTCCTTCTTGTTTTGTGTACGTAGGAACTTGGCAACAAAGAAATGAAGCTCTTGTCAAAAACTGAGTTGTTATGATTGAGTTGACAGCTGATGATTTTGACGGATTGAATGATGGTCAACCTAATCGTCCAGAGGTAGTAGGTATGTTCGACATTATCGTATCAGCTGGGGGGGAATCAATGGCAAGAGGGTGGGGCCTGGCCCATTCACGTCATGTGGTCCTGTCTTAGCTGATAAGGAACCTGGGGTAGACATCGAATAGCGTCGAAAGTGCCTGAGTAATGCAAGTCGGTAGCTGGGGTTGTTTTTGGGTCTTCTATGACATTTCAGTAGTGACACGATTCAGATGCCATTCTAAGATTTGCGTATAGTTGCGCTCATTAATCACGTCAAATTTTCACAGAACAAACAATGGTTGCAGCATTGGGCTTCCTTCTGTCGGTGATTCCATATCTACCTATTGTATCAGCCCTGCGAAGCTGGCAATAGTGCAGGTGAGATCCACCTTGCGGGCTTTACCATTTCGAGCCGGCGCATAATCAGCTCAAATAGTTGAAGAATGGCGCGATACCTTGATGGTTTGAACATGTCTGCATAGTACTGCCGTGCTGGCCAACTCGGCGAACCACGCCAATTGCAGACAAGCCATCTTTGGGGCCAGACGAGAGGCAATTTTGGTCGGGCATCTTGGGTATCTACAGTACATTGCCGCTTACCAAGCTTTTATACTTGCCTAGGTAATGGCGAGCCCGATTGCCACGGCGAAACCATGACAAGTTCGTGCCTGCACTGCATATCAGTGTGTAGAGTATATCGTAGTACACCACACTACAAGCATCCCGTCAACGGCGGCAAACACCAGTGGCAAAACACAATCTGATGAATCTCGGCAGGACCCGAGCCACTGGAACCCTACATACCCTACACACTATACTACTATGCTGATCTATGGTCAAGTTTCATGTTACTCGTGTTTCTGAAGTTGATGCGAATTCGTTCACTACCATTTCTCGGTTCACGATCTCTACCTTTTGACATCTCTCCTCTCCCGTTTCGGCGGCGGGGCCCTCTTTGCTACTGGGTCAATCGATAAGACCCCCCCCCCCCCCCAAAACGACGTCATGTCACAGTCCAAGTTTATACCCCTGCACGGAGACAGCGCTTTTCCCAGCTATTCAGTAACCCTGGAAGGACGCTGAATCACGGTTAGGCCCGGCCAGTCCGTCCAGTACCTGAACACCGCTGGGCATGCGGCAATTGGCAACAAGATGCTTACTATGATTTACAAGGTGCGCAGGCTATGTTTCGCGGCCTCGAGAACAAGCCACCGGGCTTGCGCAATAACAATTATTCTTGCAGATAGGCTTAGCTAGACAATCAGAGCATGCTCTTGCATCTTGACGATGTTGAGTATAGTAAGCGATCAACAATTGGCCGTGACCCAAACTTGCGAAATCATCAATGTAAGTTTCCTGTCAGTCAAGACGTGGAAGCTGTCTTGGAGCGCGGCATTTGTCATGAATGATGATGGTGAATGTAATCTACTATCACTAAGATAAAACCTCATACTGAGCAAATACATAGTTCTTCTGGCAAACTCGAGATGCGGTCATGGAATTGGGTTATTTTCGCTATTCACCCTGGATTGGTGAAATTGCATCTCATCCTCCGGGCAGAAATGCGTGATTGAGCCCGTCACTAGCGCTGATGGATGTCCCGTTCGGGGTTTCTGGAATCACAAAACCAACAAACAGTCAACTTGCATCAAAACAAATGACCAAGTAGTCGTGGACTCTGATCACTGACAATTTACGCTACACACCACAAACAAAGACTCGGGACCACGCATTATCGATCATTCTTGAGGCTACAAAAGAAAAGGGACAAGCTGCCAAAAATGACCTGTCTCCCTACGTGGCCCTTCCTCCTCTTTGGAGTTATCGAGCCGCTCCTTTTGTAAGTTGATCCCAACCGCTCGCTGCTCTCCATGATCCAATCAAAAAATGACTGAGACGCTATTCTTCTCCTTCCTTGTAGGGTATGGGCCTACATCGTAGGCATGCGCGATCCCCTCGCCTTCTACGCTGACCAGGTACCAGGCTCGCCAGTCGGAGCGGTCGCGGCCAGTGGTGGTAGTGACCTACTACTCCAACCGCAAAGCCTGAGTCTGGTCCTCCAGCTCCAAAACGTCTACCTGCTCCTGGCGGCCATGGCGATCCTGGCCTGCGTCACCGGCCGAGACCCGGCGACGGCGCGTCTGTACCTGGTCGCCGTGGCCCTGGCGGACCTCGGCCACATCTACGCCAGCTACGCCGCCATGGGCCCCGACGCCTTTTGGGATTATCGCGGTTGGAATCAAATGGTATGGGGCAACGTCGGCGTTAGGTTAGTAATCGCTGCTATTTCTTCCCCTATTGGCATGTCTTTGGGGGGTATAACTCAGACATGGCTTTGTCTGTTTCACGATGCGTGTCAATCTACTACTAATCCGGCCCCTTTACGACCCGAAATGAGCAGTGACTGACACCTTTTGTTGAGCAGCGCCTTCTTGCATATCAACCGACTGCTGACGGTACTGGGGGTGTTTGGACCCGTTGCTGCCGTCAGCCCAGAGGGTGTCAAGCGTGCGAAGAAGGCTTAAAGAGTCGGCATTGGTTGCCAATCACCCCCTAAATGCCCCAAGACTTGAGGCCTGCATGTGCCAGTCAGACGCGTGAAGAGGGTTGTCACAATGGGCTGCTCAACCAGGAGGTAGGAAAGGTAAAGGGGTGGTTTCTGTAGCATTTGGTCATGTTTGAGGAAGTTCTGAAAGAGCGGCCAAAAAGAACGTCAAGTTTAATATGATCAGATATACGGTAGAGCCTATATTGATCTCAATATGGTGCAACATGTTCCTAATTTGAAATAGCAAGGTATATTGCCGTCGGATCGTGGAATAGACACGGTTATTCTCACTCTAATTCGTGAGTGATATCAAGTTGCGTGCAATCAGCTATGGTGAATCCATGGCAGACAAACTGTATCAAAAGCCTCCATAATCAAGGCTGTGTAAGCGCTTCTCGGATCAGTGAGTTTGCAGGAAGAGAATGCCTTGTTGCACCCATATGATGCAGTCATCGCAGACAAGATCCCCATCGCAAAATGAAATATGGTTCAAAGCATTCAAGTCAAATTCTGGGCGCCGCCGAGGAAAAGGCCAATCCTCATCCGACGTCGTCTGTGCTCGTATGCCCCGGTCGAGGTGCTACAATCGTATCGAGAGGATCCCTAGGCAACTCAGAATCAAGGAGGAGACACCATAATCAATATTAGGAAAAGGCTCGTGCTACATGACCCCATGAGAAAGAGGTAACTCCGCAAAGGATACCCCTAGTAGTTTGTGTGATATCCTACCGTGTGGGTGTGTGGTACTGTATCTTTTTTATGTGTATCCAATGTCGCGCCCAACTTGCCAGCACCTTCCAGCCCCCCATTCCCCATATGCAACCAACTCATCAAGGACGCAGGGGGGCGGGTTCCAATGCGTGATGCTCGGGACTTATAGAAGTTGTGGGATCCGCTATTGAAAAGCTGGCACTCTTCTTTGTTCATCGGTTTCTCACCCCTACATTCCGTGATGCAAATATACGGGGACCTCCTACAAAAGGGAAAAAATAAAATAAAATAGAATCTTTCATTGAACATGGTTTCAGCTCCTTCTGCGACAGCAAAGTGCCGGTCAGAAACTGATGTGACGCCTGCCGGCCGATCCCTCATGCAGTCAGCACATGATAATGATTGTGATCGAGTTCAAAAGTGCTTGGTGATGCAGCAGGTGTTTAATTTAATGAGCGCTTAGAATGGTGGCTGACCTGCAGCCCAATGCAACGGTGCATAGACAAACGAATCTACGTAGCTATGTATGGGAGATTGAAGTCACCTCGTGTGTCGCGGATAAGTACCAAAGACACCCACTGTCAGTAGCCCCCACAAGCCTTGAGCCTATCTATTCGGTGGAGCTTCATGTGCATATCTTGTCAAGAATCGAAGAATCTCAGTGGTTAGATGGAACATTTTGTATTACTAGTACTCAGATGAAGCCCACCTGTCCGACAGAACAAGATGATCCACGAAAGTGCCACATCAGCTCAAAATAAGCACAACATGGAGCGGCTCGGCCCATGTCACCATATGTTCAAACCCATGAGTTGCCTTCTCACAAAGTCCCATCGATTGTAAAGTCCGGCGTGAGCTTGAGTGTTCCCAACGCCAATAGCAATGCATAATCATCTATGCTTTGTATGAATGTCGTGTTCGTCGTTTATGTTGCGCGAAAATTGCTAATCCCATAACCCATACTATCATAACCATGACTGGCTCCAACCCATACGTCAAACGACGATGAGGGGAGCCGAACAAAAAACCTTCCAAATTGAAAACAGGATAAAAACGCTTTTTTTGTAAATGGACAATTCCAAGTCATACACTTCGTTGAATGTCTCGTAAGATGATAAATGGTCATAAACTTGGCGTGAATGGCGTACGCGTGTCGTATTCGCATGCATTGGAGTTTGGCGGTGACCAGCCGTTAAGTGAGCGGATGAACGAGAAGTAGGTTGTTGAGTGGAAGGTGGGTCATGATGTAAAAATCAGATCCTCAGCAAACGCCATCGCTAAATGTTGCAAAATCAAACAAATGAAAGCAAGGCCAAAATAGAAGATACCAGACACGTCATAAAATGAACAGCTTCTGCAGCTGACAATATGAGGCTGGGTACGGCAACTATGAGACACTTCAATTGGCCTTAATGACCAGCTTTGACAGGAACTTGTTCGACAAGGAGTCGAAGTCGTATCTGTCAAACTTGGAGTTGTTTCGTGTCCTCAAGTATGATTCTAAATTGGTGATTAGCATTTGTCAATCGGGTACACTAGAGTTGAAAGGTACTTACCATGCTTGAGGACATGTTGCCGAACTTCAGTCATGGCCTCGCAGACAGCAACATTGTTGTTGAGCAACTGGCCGTGGCGCTGGCTGTCCCAGTCGGTCAGGGCGGGCAACTTCTGGGAGATGGCGTGGAAGAGTCCAGTAATGACACCGACAGGGGTTGTCTCCATGTCACTGCAGAACTTCTCAACCGCAGCGGGGTCGGGCACTCGGTAGTGGCAGTCGAACTGCATCTCTTCCCAGACAGCGAGCAAGACGCAGGCCAGCATGAAGATTGTTGGCCAGTTCTTGAGGCGGTCACCACTGTAGACACTGGAGTACAAAGCTGAAAGCTCCTCCAGAATATCCTTCTGAAGCTCGCGCCACATCTCGGCCATAGCGCACTTGATCTGGAAGTTGATCAGGACGGGAGCAACATACTTTCCATAGTACTTGGAGTCCTCATCATCAATCTGACCCTCCATCATGTGCTCGGATCCTTGCTGCTCAACAAGTGTGATGTGCATGGTAAGGTTGTATGCCAACACAAGCTTCAGTGCCTTGCGAAGAACAGGCAACTGCTCCTTGACGTAGAATCGGTGAGCAGTCTTCAGGATCTCGGTGATGAATGGAGTGCCTTCAAAGTGGTCGTCAATGAAGGACTCGAAAGCACCATCGATGTGCTTGTCGAGATACTCGGCCAACGCCTCGTGGCTGATGCCCTTTTCGCCCACATCGAGCTTCTCGGTCTTGATGTCAAACTCAATCGGCTCTTGATCGGATTGGTAAGACTCAACCCAGTCAACCAGGAAGCAGCTTTCATCAGCCACATAGACCTGACGGACCATGACAGGCAGGCAGAAGCCATATCCGTGGGTGATCCACATGAGCGTTTCATCCTTGGCGAAGCCCTTGACATTGTAGACTGAGACGCCACGAACGAGGTGACGCTCATAGTCGGCCTTCCAGTCCTTCATGAAGTATCCGATATCCTTGATATCAATACGGGTACAGGGGACTTGCCAGAGACGAGCGTGGGAGGGCTGGCAACCATTGCAGGGTTCACCGGTGTCGCACGTCTTCTTGAGGAACTTGCAACGCAAGCAGGCACGCAGCTTCCGGATCTCACTTGCCTGCTTTCTTTGCTCGGGAAGAAGAGGGCCCTTTCTTCGGCCAACCTTCTTCTCAACAGTGCCATCCTTCTTACCATTTGACGTCCTCCTCGTGACGCCCTTGCTTGTGGTAGACTTGGCAATAGGGCTCTTTCTCGGACCCGAGTTCCGTCGCACGGTAGGCTGGGAGGGCGAAACGACACCGGAGCCAGATCCAGGGCTTCTGCTTGATGAGGGCGACGAAGCTGTGGACTTGACAGAGACAGGAGCGACGGCCGAAGCAGGGCTGACGGTCTCGTGGGTGTGGTGAGCCTCGCCATGGTTGCAATTCCTGTGGTTCGAGGGGTCTGAGTAAGTGTCCGACTCAGGCGAGAACGGGGAGTAATTGAATGGAGGAATCTCTTCGTAGCTGCTGCTGAGATCCAAGTGCTGACTTCCATCAGAGTGAGATGCATCGGAACTCGTTCTCAGATGAAGAGTCTGACCAGGGTTGAAGATGGCAGCGTTCTGGGCCTGGGCTTGAGCCTGGACCTGCTGGTACTGATCGTAGTTTTGATACATATCGACCTGGCTCCAGCCATTATCACTCGAGCCAAGAGATAGAACCTCCAAATAAGTGCCCGTAGGAGATTGGCTTCCCAAGCTTCCGAAACGGGGTAGTCCATCTGCGGGGAATTGCAACGAGGTACCGAAATCCTGCCAATTGGCCATGCCCATACCGTCCCAGTTCTGCTGCATGGCATGAGCATCGTCTAGCGGAGGCATGCCATTGAATGCGCCCACGGTCATAGGATCCAAAGGAGCCTGAGTCGTCGCGGGGAGGTAGCCGAGAGCATTGGCCTGGAAACTCGTCGGAAACGCGTTGAAGGGAAGCAGAGGCTGCTCGCTGATGAACTGCGAGATATCGTGCGGGCCCGTGTGTTGCTGCTGGTGCTGCAGCAGGGTCCAGTCGGTTAGCAATGCTGGCGAGTGGACGTGGGTAACGCTTGGAAAAGTCGGAGATTGCTGTAGCGGACTCGCGCTATGTTGACTTGGAGAAGGCGAGTGTGAGTGCTGAGAATGCGAGTACTGAGAATGCTGCGAATGCGAGCGGGAGTGGTGGGACTCGCTCGGCGACGAGACTGCCGTCGAGTTTGTGTGATTCGGCACGGTCGCCATATCGATGGGTATCGACCAGGCGCCGGGTCTCGTGGGCGCCATGATGAGGGGATTGGTAGCAGCTGTCTGTGTGCTGTATGGGTAGCGGTTCCGCTGGTTGTCGAAAGCAGTCAAGTCCAACAGCGCGTCGCCGGCGTGCTGGTCGAATCCGACATTCATTGTGAGCAAAAGGACAGAAAGGTCTGTCGACTCGGCTGGCGGATCGTGGTTGGTATTGTACGGACTCGTCGTCGACACCGCTCTTTTGCAAGCCAACGGTGAAGATGCCCAGGGGTGCTTACTGGGTAGAGGATGGGAGAGAGAGGGTAGGATCTGGTGTAAGTCTCGAGCCAGATCGAGAATATCGAGGGGGAAACGGCCATGGAAGTGGGTGAGACTGTGGTTGAAGAATGGCGGTGAGGACGAGCGTTGGCTGCCCGGGACGGGGCTGGATGGCGAGCCAATGATATCGGCCGGCTCTGCTCGGCGTGCAGGTAGTGTGGATCACGAGCAGGGGGCCGCGCCAATCGAAGCCAGCCGACGCACCCCGTTGTGGGCTGCAGTGGGAACTTCCAGCAACCAGCCCGTCGCGGAAGGAAGCACTGACACTGTCGAGCTACCTTAGTCGGCGGGGACTGCTGGCATGTACCTTTGTACTCTCTCCAGTCTCGATGGTCCAAATAGTGGGTCACTATACATGGCCGCTAGGTGGCCCGGCTGCTCACTAATGGTCCACTGATGGACTGGATGCTACGCTTCAGTGGTACTAGAACGCTACGTTAATACATCCCTGCTACCCTATACCTTACTTTCAGAGCGTACGATCTGACATGGTCCTATAGGTACTATTACTCGTCTAACGCAGCAGCCAAACGTAGTCCAGCCAATTGATGCTCTCTTCGGATCACTCCTCTTTTTTTCACAGCCGGTTTGCCTCTCCCTGGCCTCAACGGTGCTACTCACGATTTGCCTCTGCCGTACATAACACATCGTCTCGAGCCTCTCTGTTGCTGGGCAGCCTGGAACTTTACGGGTCCATTCTCATCCATTTGGGCCTGTTTGTGCGGCGGGGGGCCCTAAAGGTTTTCCACCTACGCACCGAAGCTCTCCACTGCTTCGGCGGGTGCCACACCCCTTGACGATCAAGGGTTGTTCTCTTTTACTAGCAGTTGTCCGTCCATAATTCCCTTGCAAGTATCAAGGTAATTAAGCAGATCCAGCAGCTTTCGTGATCGGTATCGCCGGCCACTGTCGATCCTCGATGAATCCGTGTAGTAGATGGCCATGAACAGGACGAGAAATATCAATGCCTCTGGATGCAGACGATGGGATATGTGACGATTTATCTTGCATGGCCCATGGCTACAAGGTCATGATCAAGCAGATCGTCATGGGCGGCTTATACTATGCCGTTGCTCGCAGGGTCCGTCCCGCCCACGTACGCATATTGTACAGCGGTACTACCTCCATACTACGGTTACAAGATGGAGTATCTATCCCCAATCATTTTGTCCAATTGCCGACTGCAGTGGAATCTGTGGGAAGTAAGATGGACATGCTGACCTGGCCACTGACTGGCTAACTTGACTGCGTCTCGCTGTGCACTGCCCGCCTGCCGCCAGCTTGACTTTTAACGATGACTGCAACTACACGGACATGCATCATACTACTGCCGGTCACTGATTGCAGCACAAGGACGAATCCGGTCTGTCCATGATAGCACTGTGACCAGCAAGCAGGTAGAGCAGCAGATCCGACCATGTTGAGATTTTCCTACGATTCCGTACGTACTGTCGTGTATCCGAACTGACCATGCATCCAGTGCGTGCCACTTGTCCTGCTCTGGGCAAACTCCACCCACGATGCATCATTGCCCTCGTCCCACTGGTCCCCTTGCACAGCAGCCCACATCCTCTGCCCACTGCCCGCTCCTACTGCAGGTTTGGCCCAATCCAGCGTCAGCTCAGGTACGAAAGGACAGGAGAAACAGCTCATCGCTCCATCGTCATTACGAACAAGTTACAAACGACTGAGACGCAACTAAATGGAGTCTGTGGCTTGCTGGTCTAGCTGGTTGTCCTAGCGATTCATATTCTTCCCACCTGATACGACTCTCAGACGAGAGGGAGGAGAGAAAGAAAAATAATAACAAAGAAATCCACCCATTATCTTGATTTGTGCCGAGTTGGCCCGGCTGGGGTTCGGCAGCCAACGGAGCCATTGCGGAACTTCCAGAATAATAGCCGATTGACCGGCAACCTAGTTTGTACCACCAGGTGTGTGTGTTCTGGCCAGACTCGATTTTTCTCAGTGTATCAAGTTAGTGCACAGCACGGGATTTGGAAATCGCATTGCCATTCGACGGCCAAGGTATCATGTATCCGATCTGCACAACCACTTCTCAAACAGGGAGGGCATTGCAACTCAACCCCAGGCCAGTTGCCAGCTGTACTACCAACCAGTTACCACTCCGTGAGCCCATGCATAACGCTCGATCTCGGATTATGGTGAATTATGATGTGAAATTTCCGAGGAACATGCATGAGCATGCTCAGGGCATATTCGCCCCCCATCAAAGTCTCCATGTCGTCCTCGTCGTCCTCGTTGGGCTTGCACGGGAAGTTTTTCCTGGCTATGAGACATATTCTACATCCTTAGCCCAGATCTTTGCGAGATACGCACTACGTATATCGGACTACTACGTGCAATATATCAGCGGGCTGGTCGCTGTGGTGCTCTAGTATCTTTGGCTGCCGAGCGCTACGTAGCGATCGATCCGTCTCAACTCCATTACTCGCGCTGTCGATTTTCTAATTGAAGCTATTCCTGCTAGACCCATCTGACTATTATGCCCACTAGTCAGACCTATATGGCTTGGGCTCGCTCTGAGCGGACGTGGAGGAAGACGCGCTATATCTCTGCGCGGTAAAGGCGTAATCTAATGAAAACAAACAAAATGAACAAACATTGCACAGCCTCTGGATATTCTATTAGATGGTGACGCTGACAAGCGGGCGTCTTCGGGCCAGCAGCAGTCGCAGAATTGGGATCGCAAGACGTTTCCCTCAACCTGTCTCGAGGCACAGTCGGCGAGAAAATGCGTCGCATAGATTGGCCTGCCTGCCTGCCCTTTGACATCCCTCCTCCACGAAAGATGAACCCCGCGCTTACCTACAGCTCTAAGTTGTTAGCCTTTGTGTGACTGTCGATCAATCAATCAAGCTCATCCATGGGAGGAGGGGGAGATAACTAAGTGACCATCGAACCTTGATCCTAGCCTCGGCGATCCAGATAGATATCGTGACAAGTTGAGTGCGCGTAGTGTAAAACTACTACAATGTGTGCGCATTGACAAAGATCCGTCTCGGGATGGGCAACAGGCGCGCGCGAGGCAGCTAAGCCAAACCCTCCTCTGGGTTGAACAATGTCCCAGCCCTCGATGACTTGCTTGCAACGGAGGCGCCTGCAACTTCGCTGCGTCGTTGCTTTTTTGCCTGAGGAAGCCTGAAAAGCCGTTCCCTAGCCCCAAACGGGAAGGGCTAAGCGGACGATTCATGGTGGATGCGGGAAACAAACGAGGCTTTTCGGGTGTAAGCTGGAAAATTCAACTTGAAGAGTGAGCAAGCAGCCAGTAGAGCGCAGCCGGAGCCATTTCAGACAGTCAACGGGACGCCGTTCAACGTTCAACACGGTCCAATAGCATAAATACAATATGGCCTATAGAATATGTTACCATGACGTTTATTACCTACCGCCGACGATGCACTGTCCGTTACCTGGCCGCTCCTCTTGTCACTGTTGCTCCCGCAGACCCTAAAACTCTAAATAGTGCCATGACCACCTGCCACCTGGGCACCGCATAGTACATTATACTAAACCATCTCCCAGCCACGTGCAAGTCCAGTCCATTGACATGACAGATTCATGCAGCGTGTCTACACGACATATTTCTGACAGGTTGGTGGTTTGCTTCGTCTTCAAACTGCCATGGATCTGATTTTATGCACGTGGGCGCCCATTCTGCAGGTGTCTGCAAGGGCGTCATCCATTCACACGAGAAATTTTTTGAACAAGCTATGTGCGTGGCTGTCAAATGTCAATCAAGATGCTGGCTATATAGCATACTACCAAAACGCCCTAAGGCAAAAGTAACGATATATGTATGTACTAAAGTATGTATGTAGGTAGGTAAATGTAGGAGGCATGCAGCCCACTTTAGAAAATCTGTTTCTGCTCCGTTTCACAACGCACGTCTCGCACAATGGCTTTCGCCACATCCCGCGAGGACCGCGAAGTATATTTCGTTCGGTACTTGCGCAGTAGACGAGGCAAAAGTGGACATTGTCGGAATCGGTCCCGGTCGCGTGCGTACGAACTTGGGCCTTTGCAGTACTACTGTACGGCCTTGAGGTCTCGTCCAACATAATCTATTTCTCGGTGGCAATCATCCGTCCTTGCAGTAGGGTCGTCTTCGTTTCTTGCATGCAAGGGCTGCGAGGGAGACGCTGCTCGGCTGCCGATATGACTTGCCTGCCTGCCTTGGTATGCCTTAGTCTTGGGCCTCGAATCAGCTACTATTCACCTGCAGTCTCGTCCACGCCGAGCACTCATTCAGGCATTGTCAGCCTCATTATGACGACATGCCTCGATGTGAAAGCGCTATAGGCGACATGTGTTGGGCCATTTACCTTGTGTAATGACTACTGCTCGAGTGTCTGGTCATTCTTCGGTTTGGGCGGCCGGAAATGCCTGGCTGGGCTGAGCATTGTCCAATCTAGACGAGCCCAGAGATTTAGCTTGATGAGTCTTGGGCATTCTTTGCGGGGACTCGCAAAGATGCAAACGCGGCAGAGTCTGCAATGGGGCATCTCATGGGGCGGCTCGGGCTTGACATGTCGTCTGGACTCTCATGCCTTGCGCAGAGACACCCCAAGATGGCTTCGCTACCGACGAGAAGCAAGTTTGCATCAAGCTGGCACTCGCCCACTTCAGGCAAGCACGGCGGCAATGTGCATGAGATCATACGGTGACTTACTACTACAGTACATGATTGCTGCGAGTGCGTTGAGCTAAATGTCCTGTCTGCCCCCCAGCCTCCAAGTAAAATAGACTCGTCTCCGGTTGGGGAAAAAGAAAATATAGCAATCTCCCAGTTAAACGCCTCTTTCATAGAGGCTCACCGCCATGCGCTCAAAACACGCGGGCGGCCAGTAACAGTTTCTTTTCAAGGTAAGTGCATGTAGTACAATTTATATTTACCTTGTTGACACGCGTCAAACACTATATTAAAAGCTGCCACGTGTTGGACTGACTGAATATACATGAACTTGACAGCTGCCAGCTTCAAACCATTGTTGATGCATTAATGTCGAAACTTCGAAATCTTGTAACCTACAAAAGATATTATTCTGGCGGTCAGCCCTGCCGTTTCGGAACTCTCCCGGCCGGGCGCCACAGGGTCTGCCCATTCCGTGTCTTTGACTGGGAAGATGAGCTGAATTCTATCCCGTCCCCCAACCCCCTGCCATATGGGTTGCTTAGAGTTCTCCTATACCTGGCTGAGAGAACTTTATGCCGCATGAGCATGTGTTCAGGGCTGTCGGCCTCTGACACAGAACTTGAAAGATCCATAACATGGAAGATCCTAATTTCATGGCACTTGTTTCTTTATGTATGACAATATCGATATCAGTACGATGGCAGGCCTCGTGGGCTGCTCGCTTGGAAAGCTGGTTGCCAGGTTATTCAAATTATCGTGGAGGCAATGAGAGCCCTGCCGGTTCATCATCAGCCTCGCTCGATGACTTTTACGGTCGTAACAGTTTTCACAAAGCCCCTGTAGCTACAGGCTTCTGCATGTATTGGAAGCAATAGAAACGTCTAAGGATTGTTAATTCGCAATAGCTTTTCCAGACGGCGCAAAATTATGTGTTGAATCTTTTTCCATATGGCAATAAGTATTTCCAAATTGCTCTGATTCAGATGAAACATCGCTTCTATAGATCAGTCAATTTGAATAAGTCGAGTTTAGTAAACACTCCCCAAGATGAGCTCATAGATACGCTCTGCCTAGTCGTGATTAATAAGTACTGCAACAGCAACGACGTTTATAAAGAAATGGGAGCGGACCAAGAAAAGTACAAGGAAAGATGAAAAGAGATACTAGCATAATGAATACTAGGGCTTGCATGAACACTCCAGACTCCAGAGTCCATGTAATACGGGTACCTATAGGATTCCAGAACGGCCATCCCAACTTGACGGTCTGCTGGTCTTTCGACGATCATAAGTCGTCTCAATGAATCGTGGTGTTCATGTGAGCGTGGATCGACCGATTGATACCTGGCATGTCGATCAACTAGAGCAGTTGCTGCTCGTCGAGATGTGCGACGACAAAGTCATGATATCTTCAGACCAAGAAAACAGTCGCCTCAAATATGAGCATTCAAAGCCACGGTGTTGTAATGACGGTTGTATCTGTACAGATGTCGCCTCCGCAAGAATCAGGTAGTGTTGTAGGTAAACGAATGCTGTGCTGATGAAGCACGGAGATGTGAATGATTTACTTAGTGCTGGCCATTTATTACGCCACTGGAAATGGCCAAGCATTCTGATCTATCGATGCATCAGCTTTTGTCTCATCTGAAATTGGGAAGAAAGTGGAACATGGTAAAGAATTGATTCAGCGTTGGTAAGAAAAGTAGCTGGACTGTCGACTTGTTCTCGTTATGGCCAGCTACATAGTATCGCATTGTCGTGGAGCTGGTAAAGGGAGTACGTAACGAGGAAAGACCCTCATCAGCAGCTACTATGTAGGCCGGGGAATAGCCGGCGGCCCATTTTGGGCCCAAGCACCCGCGTACCCGCAACAAGTGACATCAATTTCAAGGTCGGTCGCACTTGACCCCGTGATCACGGGATCGGATCGTTGAGCTTCAAATCCAAAGAAAACCGAGTATCATTCTATGGCAAAATTATTGGTTCAAGAGTGAAGGTCAGCGCCAGGTTTGCGGTTTTTCTTTTTTTTTGCTCTGTTCGAAACTGCTTCCAACAGTCGCGCGGATATCCCCAGCAAGGGAGGGGGGATGCTTCTGCCCAACCACATCAGACCTTGATCCTCACATACAACCCAACCCATGCCGCCAACAGTCAAGAGTCTCGCCAACGCTCGTCAACGAGCTCTGTTCATAAGAAAATATCCCAGGGCGGCAGGTTCGTCAAAGCCTGTGAAGTCGTCAAATTCTTCCAAGATGGCCGACGAAGAAATTGTGTCCCACATGGCCTCGCTGTCGCCTTCGTCAGCGACGGCACCCAAACTGCCCATCGACCCCCTTTATACCAGAGAGCCTCCTATCATTGATGATTTGATCACCGTTACATCAAACGCTCAGGAGGGCACCATGGATTCCTGCCTACCTTTACTGCAAGCCCAGGATGATAGCATCGAATACAACATTCATGGAGTGCCTCACCTGCGTCGACAACGCATCATCAACTTTCTCAAACACACTATAGGGCAGCTTCCGGCACCATTTGTCATGGCCGATGCAAGTAGGCCATGGTCTCTGTACTGGGCACTGAACGGAATGGCGCTGCTGGGAGCCGACATCTCGGGCTATCGCGATGGGTTGATCGCCACTGCGCAGCATCTGCAGAATGACAGTGGCGGCTTTGGTGGCGGCTTCGGTCAGCAATCGCATCTGGCTACCACGTATGCAATGGTCTTGGCTCTGGCTATCGTTGGAGGTGAGGAAGCCTATGAAATCATTGATCGAAGAGCCATGTGGAAATGGCTTTCCTCTTTGAAGCAACCCGACGGAGGGTTTTCCATGTCCCTCGGCGGTGAGGTTGACGTTCGGTAAGTGCGGCCCTGTCTTGTACATATTTGTGACTCACTTGCTAAGCACCATACCATACAGAGGAGCGTATTGCGCGGCTGTTATTATCTCGTTGCTCAACATTCCCCTCGGTCTGTCTTCGGACTCGCCAGCAAGAACTGTAGGCATCGAAGACCTCTTTACTGGTCTGGAAGGCTACGTGCGAAGATGTATGGCGCACCCTTCGATTATTTGTTATTATTACTATTGTTGTGTGTGCTACGCCTTCTAACGCGTGCAGGTCAAACCTACGAGGGCGGTATATCCGGCAAACCGGACGCCGAAGCGCATGGTGCATATGCGTTCTGCGCTCTGGGATGTTTGACCATACTAGATGCGCCCCATCGCATTATCCCCAGGTATGCAGTTGCTCACATCCCAACCACTCAGAGGTTGCCAACATATTGCCATGTTCTGATCCAGATTGTTCCATAGAGCTCTTGATGCACCTCGACTGATCTCTTGGCTGTCGGCTCGCCAATACGCCCCCGAGGGTGGCTTCTCTGGTCGCACGAATAAGCTTGTCGACGGCTGCTACAGCCATTGGGTGGGAGCATGTTGGCCGCTCTTACAAGCTAGCCTCGCAAGAGATCACAGCTCCGCATTAGAAACTGGTCTTCCCTCGGGCCATAGTTTCTATGACCGTGAGGGTCTGATACGGTACATCATGTCCTGTGGCCAAGACCACTCCTCTAGAGGTGGCATGAGAGACAAGCCCGGACGGTAAGATCCCTACTCCATTCTGTTGGTGGGTTATGACAAATCATGCTGAAACTGTACCCAAGACGTTCCGATGCATACCACACCTGCTATGTACTCAGCGGGCTCTCGTCTGTACAGCATATTGTCAGCGCGGACACCTCACGAGATGAGCAGGTGGCAAACATTACATGGACCGTGCAACCCCATATGGACGATCGGGTCTTTGACGAGGAAGACCTGGTCGAAGCGACAGACCCCGTCTACGCTATCCCTCAGAAGAGTCGAGAGGAAATTATGGAATATTTCTTATCGAAGCCGGGATTCTGACCCGCTAATGGGCCGCATACAAAGTGACCGCGTCCGACGCGGAGCGAGCCAATACGATATTGACCATTTGCGGATTGTTTCCTGGCCGAACAATGCGCGGATCGATGTATAGCACTAGATCGTTCGGCCTCAAGTGCGGAATATTGAGCGAAAAAGCGAACATCGCACACGGAAGAGACAGCTCATGAGCTAAGGGGCATCTAGTATTGGGATGCCATATTCGCCAGCATTGGCACAAGGATAACATCAACTGGACATGACTTTGAAGGACTACAACTATCACTTTCACGACTATATGCGCGTGACTGAAACCTTAAAAAAGAAAGGAATATGACGTTTAGAGCCAAAACTCCCCCTATTACAGCTGCCGGCTGGTTGCAAGTTTTCTCGCTCTGTCTAGCACCCAAGTATGGGCCTCTGTCTCAGGGGTCATTTTCCTTGACTAGGCTTATTTACGGCGACGGCGGGAAGGCCCGCCCAGGATGGGTAATGCCGAAGCTGAGCTTTGATGGCTTTTTGGTGACTATCAGGGTCCTGTCCTGACGGGTCTCGGGCCAGAAACACCTGACAGACAACTCATCATAGACGCGGTCTTGAGAACTGGCCGGATTTCGGGTCGGGGGACATGACGACAGGTACACGCGCCTAAGCCCTTTTAGAAGTTCTTTACAGCATCATGCGCACCTGGTCGCCATTGAAAGAGATCGCATAACGCCATGCAGTATGTACTGCGTGTGAGGGACGGAGCAAAGGGTTGGTCCAAGTCCTTCGCCCGATTGCAGTGGAACAGTAAAACCCATTCTCACGGGCACAGCGTGCATTCGCCAATCTCCATATGCGGTAGGTCTGTGACACAATCCCAAATCCTTCAATATTCTTCAGCAAGGTGCGCTCTCTTTCCCCCCTCCAGGTCGCATCGCTTATCCACATGCCTGGAGGAGAGAAGACAGCCAGCCCACTAAGAAGCTGCTGCCGCAACAAAAGCTCGTGAGCCCAGATTCTCGGGTTCGATACCACATTGTAATGTCTCGGGAAAAAAAAAAAGAAAACCAAAAAAAGAGCCAGCCTCAAAATCTAAGACATGCGGCAAGCAGGTAACGTAGGACAGGTATCCAACGATGTGGTCAATGTCATACCGTGATAATCTCGAGCCAGTGGAGTCGAGATGTTGGGACCATAATTCCCTACTCACTGTTTGGGAAAGCCACCCGTTACGGAAAGCACAGTAGATATGTACAGAAGACCTGGGCTCGATTTCAATAACTTTGAATGGCAACAAATTGTTCTCAACGTCCGTCTCGACGGCCCAGAGGTGGGACAGGCCGAACACATGCAGACCGTCGTGCTAGTCATGGTCCCCACTCATGTATCTTTTCTCCCTCCTCCCCCCTTCACATATACCCATTTGATTACTGGAGCCGATGGGGGTTCTTGTAGTTACAATTTTCCTTGACGTGGCGGTTCCTCGGTTGGGTTTCGTAGTCAACGCGACCTTTTTTTTTTTTTTTTTTGTGCAAACCCCTCCAGAACGACGCAATGGTACAGATAGTAGTAGTATTATATTTACCCCCTACATGTACATAGGCAGATGGAGCAACCAGCTAACCTTACCGGCATGTAGATGAATGACTTGGCATGATACCGCCCCACGGAACAATTGATCTACTTTGCCCATGGGACGACGCGGTACTATTATTCTGGAGTTTCATATGTGAGATTCCATTCGCGGCATTTCCCATCTATCTTGACTTGCTTGCACGGCGGTGGGCCACATGGGAGAACAAGAGGGATGAAGTGTCTATCTACCTTGAGCTCGAGCTATCATGGCGAGTTATCAGGTCAAAGATACGTATTCCGAGCACGTTCCGGCTTGGCAGTGTACACATCACTGATGGAAAAGACCATGGTCATTTTTGTTTAGCTCTGCTTTCCTTGAGGAGGGACCCCTACTGTCAAAGGTCAATCCCTGAATATTCAATGTCGGCCGTTGCTAGTAGTAATGTAGTATGTAGTCATTGCTCAGCCATGGTGGCCCAAGAGAGCAAATAAGAAAAAAGGAGGGGGCGGGGTAAAGTCAATTCCACTGAACGTTGTAGTGTAGCACGCAGATTCATCAGATCAAGCGGGAGGTCCAATCCCCCCTCCCCGTTCTTAACAGTAAAGAGGGTATATAACAAGAACAAGAGATGAGACGACGTAACTCGGGTAACATTGGGAATCATCTCATGATTGCAATTGTGATCAGACGAACAAAGTTTTGTCTGTCGGCCAACGAAGCACAAAAGAGTTTTCCCGTAGGACAAGGAGGGAGGGAGAAAAGAAGAAAAAGTGGGTAGTTTAAGTGTTTTTGTGGTATGTATTCCATAGCCCCAAAAACTTACCTAGCTTCTGATGAGTTGGACGAAGGAAGGGGCCCAGACGGTCAGGATGCACGACATCGAACATCGTTGCCTCCCCTCTCTTTGGTGGGGGAGCGGCGGCGGCGGCGACGGCGGCGGATTCTGTTTTGCTTTGCTTGCTGCAGGTGGAATTCCATCATCAGCTTACTTGATGTGCCAGCAAGCAAGCAAGCAAGCAAGCAAGCAAGCAAGCAAGCTCTTTAGCGCTCGACGAACCAATACCGTTCGTTTGTTCGCCTGTCAATGAAGACTCCCCACGGTATTACTCTCACACTCTCTCACCCCTCCATTTCGTCAGACCCGGCAACTGGGAGGGGCCAAAAAAATCAAAAAAAATCCTATGCCGATGGGGCCACCAAAAAGAAGGTTTTCCCGTGGATATCCACGGACTAATAGGCTCGTTTCGATCTCATGGGTTCATCTCGGTATATATCAGGGATTTCGTTGGACAATGGCAGAGCTGCCGGGGCGCTTGCGGATTGGTTGATCTAATCTGACATACATAGATACATCGACATGTGGATTTCCCTTTCTTTTCTGCTCTCCTCCATGCGCGTGTACTCCGTACGTGTATATGCGTGTACGTGTGTGTGTGTATGTATTTTGGTGCCATTTCCCTATTGCCCTTTCCGTATGCCCCAAGCAAAAAGGCAGAGGCTACACAAGATATACGCACATGCGCGCATGTTTTTAATGTTATGGCTTGACGCACTCAACTGATTGACCTGGCCAGGTGCCACCATTCATTCATTCGACAACCTTTTTTTGTGCCACATGGTGGAGCGATGATGTGTCCTCGTCGTCCATCCACATCCATAAAAACGTTGACCTAGCACTGGGCCACGATGAATGGTCATTTTGCAGCGAGTGGCTGATAGTTTCTCTTTTTTTCTTTTTCCTCTTAGCCTGTGCTTCAAAAAAGCATTTCATCGGGTCCCTCTACGTTCCAGAATATTTCCATCTTAGCGGCATCTTTCTCTGTCTGCCTCTGCCGCCCCCACTCCAGAGTAGGTACACCACAACAGACAGACATGCGACAAGTGCTGGTTCCGTAGCATTCATTCGTTCTCGCGGCCCATCATGGTAAAAGTAGATCGTGCGTTCCTCAACGTCTAGACCATACACGTGAGATACGTACCCATCACCAACTGTAACCTACCTACCTACCTACATGTGGATACTCTATTACCAACTCCCATCGGGACAAAATGCGTCCTTCAACACGCATTCATACCTTCAACCCTCTTTTAACGCCTCAGCTGCACAGTATGTACGTGCCGAGACAATCTATACTCTCCTAGGACTACGTACAAGTCGATCAGTCGTCCTCGGTCCTGCAATCGCCGCCTTCACTTCACGCCACCTTTTGAAAAAGATTATCAAGAAGCTGCAGGCGATCCTCCTCGTTACAACTTCGGCATCAATGCCGGTCTATGCTCATTCCTACCATGTACAAACAAGAAAATATCTGGGTAAATGGTCGTCCCTCTGCGGTCACCAATTTCCCGATATGCAGGGCATCATCTGTGTGCTTGTTGGTGTAGGGATTTGCTTGCCCGGCATAGCAGGGCAGGCTGGAGTGCAGACAGACAAGACGATCAAGGAGGATTTGTATCGTCGTGTCTGTGTGTGTGTGTGTGCATATAGATACGGTAGGTAATCTAGGAGGAAGGAAGCATGAAATAGGTATCTCGTCATGTATGTATATGTACGGATATACAGGCATGTATATCGTACAGGGTCACTGCGCCATGCACACGCCTCTTCTGGTCGGCAGGGAATAATAAGTGGTACCGTCTACCCCAACTGGGCCCAGTCGTGATCGCGCTTGACTCGTACCTCATACCCGCCAGTTTGGCCCCCAGTGCCAGAAAGAGAAAGTGAGGTAGTAAGTTGAAGAAGTCGAGAAGAACAACCAGAAAAGCAAAAGAGGAGAGCGATGAGAGGGAAGACTGTGAGAGAAGAAGCGAAAAGCCGGTGCCGATACATACAAAGCGGCCAACCGAACTGACCGACTGACAAACCAGACCAGCCATAGTACTCGTCTCTCTCTCTCTCTCACTCACACACCAACATTTGAACTAGCCATTCCTGCTTTAATATCAAGCGGCAATGCCAACTCATCATTGCATGAGGTGTTCAAGCGTCCATGTCCTTGGTCTCTCTTCTTCGCCTAGTTGCCTTGTACTGCTGGGCGATCCTCCAGTCAGAGCCCGCCGTGCGCCTGTAGGCTCTAGATGGCTTGCTGCCGGCCCTGGCAGGGTCCCCAGCCCAGGGAGACCTAGAAGCCTCCCTTTGAGAAAAAGGCAAGAAGAGAAAAAAATTCAAGACCTACTACTTTGTATCTAGGTTCAAAATTTACTGGCGCGGGGGAGGGGAAAACGGCAACAAACCCTGGTGGTAAGCTCTTATTTTATTGTATTTTTTTTCCCCAATACATCAATTTTTTTCTCTTTGAAATTGTTCACCGCACATTGTGTATCCGTCTTTTGTCTCGACTCGGCCAGAGACCAGTCCAGTCCCTTATGGAATTACCTACCCATAGAGCTACTGCTTTCCTAGGGACTTTTCTGTCGCACTTGAGGACCCATCGAGAATCCAGAAGAGGAGCCAGTCAAAAAGTACCTTCTTAGGTTACATGCCAGAGTTACGCAGCGTGCTTGCTCTACCTCACTTTTATTACTGGGTAGGTAATGACCGACTGTGATTCTCCTATACCCATTCAAACTGTCAAAACTATTCCAGCCAATTGCTATATGAAAATCATTCTATAATATTGATTGAGTTGGTGATTTGCTAGTACACTCTCTGTCATTCACTACCGCCGCAGTACATAGATGCATACATACATTGATTACTGTTTCGACAAAGAGCGTTACCAAGCAAGCAAGCCCCTCCTCACCTCTTGTCCCTCTCCCACCGTCATCGGTCAGCCTGATTTGTCAATTGGCGCCTCCCCCCTCCCATCCGAGAGTCTCTATTTTCGGCCGCGTGCGAATCGCCCGTCTACTTTAGCTGCTATCCCGGCCCCAAGACCAGGTATGGCCTGTCTCTACTTTGCAGTCTTGCCCACTCATAGGCCGCATTTATGGCCGCCTCCAACATATGCCTTCTCCGTCTTCAGCTTGTTGCCCGCCAGCGCATCGCCGCGACGGCGGCGGCGGCGGCGGCAGCGGCAACAGCAGCAGCAGTCAGTTGTGATTTTTGCTTAGCAATATGGGTAACAAGAAAAAAAAAAATTTAAACAATCAAGACTCATCGTCACAACGGTGATACCACTGACTGTTGCTCCATCCCTTGCCCGAGCCCCTCAATTTCCTATTGATTCCCTCATTCATCCGGCTTGTAGGTAATGTACCTCTCTCTCCCCCTTGCTACTCATCAAAGCCCCTCTTTTACACATTTACACATCCTGACCAACAAGTCTACTCTGTACCGATTCACCTATCTTCATCATTCTCGTCATTGTCTGAATTGAAATGCCTCCAATGTGTATATGATGGTATATGATCCAGGTACATGGGTCGATACAGAAGTACTGGTTTTGGTTTTGTCTCCTCCGGTCTCCCAAGTAGTACCAAGCTTCTTAGGATTGATCCATCTAGAGATCCATTTATCAGACACTTGATGCGCCTGCAGACAAGCAAGCGTCAAGGCTGGGCGGTAGTGTTAGTGACAGGTGGATTTGTATTATGCATGTACGTGGGGAAATATAGTCGGTGGTTCTCCCTGCTACCTACTACTTACTACTAACTACATGGACTACATACTAAACAGTACCGAACTCTCTTGTCGTCTCGCCATCCGAAGTCCAAACCGTTTTTCTCTCTCTCTCTTTTCCTGTACAAGAATGTTTATCCCTGCCTACCCTTTGAGATTTGATTGCTGATGCATTAGCGGCTGCCAGAGTCCTTACCTGCAGACAAGAACGATTCGCTTCTGCGACGCTGCGTCCCTCTTTTTCTCTCTCTCTCTCCCTTCCAGCTGGTGCTACTGTCTTTTGCCTCTCTTTCTCCATGTATCTATTTGTCTACCTTTCACCACTTCTTCCCTCCCCGCTAATACACCCCCTGGCCATGTGCCAGGCACCACCCTTCCCGGCCCATCTCTGGAAGGTCCATATGGTGGTTACTTGAACGGTGGCCCGGCCCATGGAACACCTCATAGAGCGTCAGTGGTTCCTTCTCGTCGTTTTCTCTATGCCCTGCCCTTGGCTTAAATCGTCATCGGGTCCATTGACGGCGCAGATTGGCCGCAGGACTGGTCGGTCGGTCCCCCGGCTTCCATCATTCGTTGTAATGATTATTATTATTATCAATATTTGTTCATTTTTATTATTCCCCTTTGCCACTTCACTATGCCTTTCTCTGCATGTACCCTACCGAGAGGTATTTTCCCCTCCTCAGACTTTGCCATTCTCACTTCCATCGGTATCTTTACCATTGGAAAGAAGACCCCTGGTCCCTCTGGATTGGCGCGCGCAAGAGTTGCAGCAGAACCCGCATTATTGCCCCATCATTACCAGACCAGGGTTTGTGGCGAGGATAGGTTGAGTGAGAGAGCCGAAGGAGAAGGGAATAGTAGGTAACAAAAAAAAAAAAACCGGACACAGAAACCTGGTACCGACCCTATTCCGTCCAAAATCCCCTTGAGTGCTTTATCCAAAAATTGATCGTCTCTCTCACACTCTTGTCACTTTCAACGGGATGATACCCCCATGTGTACCCTGTGGAGTTGCCTAGTCCTCTACCTGTTTTATCAACTGGCAACGAGACGCGCCAACACATCAAGATGGGGTCGCACTCTCGAGAGAGCCGCATCTCGACATGCGTCCGCCTTTGTCCTGTCCTGTACCCTTAAATTATTTTATTTCATTTTATTTTCTCTCCTTGTATTCGTGCCCTCTCTCTCTGTGGTCCGTCTCCCTCCCAGATCCCCGTACATAGCAGTAGTCATCTCGGCCTTCTCTGGCTTTGTTTCCGTCCTGAGAATTAATCCCTGCCCCCGCACATACAAAACAATCTTCTGCAATAAAGCACACATGTCTCGCCTTCGATGGACCAGACTTCCCGCACCACAACCTTGAATTGCGTAGCCGGACCTCCTTCTTTTCAACTTACATACTGCTGCTGCTGCTGCTGCTGCTACTACTACTACGACTATTACTACTACTACTAACAACACACACTGGACATCTCACACACATCACACCTCCTGTGTCGTAGCACAGCACAGCCAGCTCAGCCCTTCCCTCACCGTCCCCAGCGCTGCCTGACCGATATTGGGATTCTATTGCCTGTTTGCCAACCTTAGCTGCCTTGCCTTGCTTTCCTCACCTTTCCCCACGGTTGGGCTTCATTGCATACTCTTCCCCCCAGGCCCCAGGAGCCTTCTCCGGATCTCTCCCCGTTGCTAGCTGGCCGGTCGGACTGTCTTCTGCCCTGGCTGACAGACGGACAATTACGCCGGGGAAGCTGCCCAACCTTGGAATTGGCCATCAATTGACCCTGTTTTGATCCATTGGGAAGCCATTGAGACATACCGACACCATGGCCGGCTTCTATATGCAATATCTCGAGAGTAAGTCAAAGAAAACAAGCGATTTTTTACTTGGCTAGGAAACTTTGGTCATCTCAACCATGACATTGAGAACAAAACAAGCAAGGAAACAAACAAGCAAGAAGAGAAGACAAGAGAAGAAGATGATCCCAAAAGAACTGTCGTGATGTGTGGGGTCGTTTCCCCATGATAGCAGTCCGTCTTACATGTGCCAACCCCTGCATCGTGAGTTTGACGTGCAGACTGCCATTGCGTTCCTGCGCCCGACGGCATGTCATGATGCTTTTCAGCCCCACGTTTGCTCCTTTTCCTGGGGGCCGGGCTGGGTGGCGATCGATGCTTTGCTGTTCATTCTCAAGACGTCAGATCGATGCGAACGTTTGTGGTTGGGCTGTCATGCATACGAATAGATGTCCGGGGATCTGGCTTCATGTTACCCGGGCTGCTGGGGCGCTGCAGCCCTGAAATCGGGTCCAGCTACAGATCGTCCCTCAAGATCAGCAGCTAACCTGGGGATTCTATAGGTTTATGCCGACGAAGAGGGTGGCAAGACCCTACTTACGAATGCTACCGTGATTCGAATGGCTACACTTGCCTGGTTTTGGTCAACGGTCGCGAGTACCAAACAGATCTCACATACGAATCGGATGGCCTCGCTCAGGAGAACGCCGCCATGAGAGCCTTCATGGTGTGCCGGAACTTTTCTGTCAATGGTGGGATGCTCGCCCGCAATGGGATTGTGCAGGGCCTTCCTGCCACCGACTCTGGCAAGCACTCGCGTTCCAAGAAGACGCGCCACCACAGCTCGTCCAGCGGCCACAGGAGCCACGGCAGCCACAGGAGTGGACATCACTCGAGCAGCAGCTCTACCGCCTCCTTTGATTGAGGAAGCTACCTACCTACCTACCTAGCACCAATGGGAAAAAGCCATCCGGGGCAGAGACACCGTGCTTGGCTGACTGTCCTGGACCAATGGATAAAAGCATCGGGAGAAGACGCAGAAAGGCGCAGATCTTATGACGATATACAAGTGGATGAAGCTTCGCAGCTGGATCTCTATGGATCACATGGGAGAATGACGTGGAGTTCTTTTATTTTTCTTTTCATATCTGGAACCATTTCCTACCAGGAGAGGGCTGGATTCCACACAAAATTTGCATAAAACGACGATTTATGACGACTTGACGAACCATTGACGAATGACGAGACGACTTTTTCTAATGATACAACATTGGCCGAATTATACGTTTTTCCCGCTTTGACGTCCCGATGCGCGTTCTTATGAATCACTTTCTCGCCCGAAAATAACAAAAAAAAAAAAAAAAAAAAAGAACTTATGATGAATTCGATTCCATGATTTCTTTCCACTATATCGGACTGGGTACCACAGCACCGGACCGGATTTCCTCACTTATGCGGACTCTATCTCTCTCCTCTCTAAAAGGCAACCCTGTCGGGCGCGGCCTTTTGATTTCACGTGCAACCTTTTGAGCACCAGGGGATTTCTCTACTCATGACGCAACGATTCATCTCAACCATATTTGGAGTGACTGCTTTGGTATCATTCGCTGCAAGATAGACGGACTGTCACTGGGCATTTACATGGCAAGGAGAAATTCATGGGCATCTTCTACTTCTTCCGCCGTCGTCTCTGTGGTCTCGCTTGTTTTCCCTTGGCCCTCTGGAGCGACGATGCGAAACGGGTGCTGTCCGTCCGCGCAATTGGACGGAGAACCCGCCACCTTCTGCTTCTTGCCGTTCGTCTTTGGGACGCCCGCCCACAAGGAGCTGTTTTCTAGACTACCTGGTGCAAACGGACATTTTTTGTTTTTGCTTTTATCCCCTGTTTCAGCTCATGACCGTGAAGACGAGAGGGAGGATGCGGACAGAAAGAAGAGGAAAGGGGATGAGAAGACATGTCGGGTTGAATGTTCCATTCCAGATGATGCCGAGCAATTCTGATGGAAAGCGCATTGAGCGGGGGGCTTTACTTTTCCTGACAACCGGGCTTCTTTTCTGTCTGAGCCGATTTACTCCATGTCCAAGATTCATGGCCGCGATGGATGATACGACCTCGAAATGATGCTCATGACAAGACCAATTATCTTATACAGTTTTACATACTCTTCCTTAACCGAAATGGAAACACTCGACTACATGATGGAATTTGTAGCCATTTCGAAGGACTCATTGTCTCGTGTCATCTTTCCTCATCTCTTGTGGACGGGTTTTCAATACCTTGAGTGAGTGAAAGCTTTGGATCGACTGATGGAAAGACGTGTAAACTAGATTGATCAGGGTCGTCGCTTTGGGGACCTTTCCATCTCAGGATAGGAGCGCCGGAAAAAAAAAAGGTGATAGTCAGCAGAGCAATTGGCGAATCATAAAGCGGGTGTTGTGTTTGATAGGGGTCACGGCGCGTAAATAGGGTCGGTTTATAGCTAATCTTATCAAGGTGTCGCTAGCCAATCAATTGACTAGGGGACCTCTTCTCCTCCCCCCCTCCATACCCATTTCCCCATATAGGGGAGTTGGGAAAGCAAGATGCTATTACGCTTATTACCCGTTGTTTGCCCGGGCTTTTGTTCTTTGGTATAGCTCGTACAATTGGTATGATCAACCCCACCCGCCGTGTCTTTTTTTGCTCTTGGGAATCGGAGCGTGGCGTGGCTCTTTTTGACAAAGAACCTAGCGAGGTGAGATTTGTAGACGTGGTACAAAAATACTTTCCTGATGTCTCGTCTATCGTCCATAGTGCTTGATGTTGGCGAAAAGATTGGCTGTCCTTCTTCTTCTTCAACCCTACGAGGCTCTCAGAATATCGCTTGAGTACTGAAATAAGGGATGCCGCTGGGGCTTGCTCAGAGTATCTCAGGGCAAGTTCATTTGAATGACCAACAAATCACGCGTGCCTTTTCAAGGTGAGTATCAAGGTGAACGGACAAGGCGGACAGACAGACCCAAAGAAAAGATCATTCTGACTTGGCCATTCATGTTTGGCGCTGGCCGGGTGTGTTTGGGGTAATCGGGCGTATTAAGAAAGAGGGACCGCAAAGTGGCAAGGGTGTGTATTGGTCTCGGCAAGCTAGAGGGGGGCAAGGTGGGAAGAGAGCAGGGGTTTTTGGGGGGAGGTTTACGCATAGTCGGCGCGCCCTGCACTGCCTCTTCCGCCGAGGGGAGCCTTGGAGGAGTATATTATAGAGGGCAATGATATGATTTCTTGCTAGGATGGGATTGCCTGTATATAAGTTCCCGGCGGCAAGGTCAAGATTGTGTCGATAGATGGTCGGTTACTATGGGTTAGCCATGGCCTGAGAAACAAACCACAGAGGAAATGGTTATTCAAGTGACTCAAGGGCCCGGGATAAAAATCTTGTGTCGTGGCTAAGATATGTTGCGACCTGAGCATCCTAGTAGTCTGTGGCATATTCCAGATCGGCCTGGCCACGGCTTGCGTGAGCATTGTTTCGCAGACACGAGATCATGGGAACGTTGAACAGCATGATCCGATCCAGACCCCTCCGTCGTAACTTTTGAGTGCATGCGACGGGAAGGGGAAAAAAAAAATCAACACGCACGGACTATTGTATCAAGATGGTAGTCAGACTGGATACAATAGTAATAGTCGGTCTGTGTTTCCGAACATGGTCCGCGCTGGTACTATATGTAGAGGGCTTTATTTGACGTTTATTTGCGATTAACCATTTATCAAGCTTTCTTAAAAAGAGTACACGGGCCAGATGCGAGCACCATGTGGGTTTGATATGAAAGCCGTGGATTTGATGCCCGTGATACGATTAGTGTCTAGTTATTGTAGACACATACACCACCACCACCACGAGGTCAGATTAATGACAGCATGTTGACATATGTCAAGAATCCTCATTGTTTGAGACTTTAACAAAGTGACTCGCAGATTTCACCAAGCTTGTTTCAAAAAAAGACATTCCCTCATCACCCCCCACACGCTTGAAGCTTGGGTAGGGCGAGGGGGGGGGGTTCCGATCCGAGGGGCGATCCCGTCTTGACTTGACGCGTCAACTACTGAATGAGGACAGACATGCGTTGTCGCGTCCCGCCATGCGAGTTCGTTTTACCCCCTCCCCGTTGAAAAGAGACCAGTCTTGCCACAGAGGCTCCAAACGAGTCTGAAGAAGTAGGTTATAGACGGACAGGAAAGGTTCTCGCGACATTGAAGAGACTGGGAAGAAAAGAAGAAGAAGAAATAAAGGGGGGAGGCAGGCCAGCCTCTCTAGTTACCCTCCAAGGTTTGTAGTATGTGCAGCCTTGCCTATAATAACTTTTTTTTTTTCCCTCCCCATCCTCTCTTCCTTTCCTCGTAATTCAAAAACCTACCAATTTCGCCTGGACACATGAGGGAAATTGGGCATCACGAGGTAGTTGAGGTGCTGAGTACTTGATTCACCAATAGGAAGAAGCAATTCGCCAACGAGCCCACCCCCGAGCCACCATAGAACAGATGTTAGGGGAGGGGCCCGGCGGCCCATGCAGATCGGAATTCTTATTTAGTTGGCTTTTTAGCAGCGTTCCCTAAGGTAGGGCCGCAGGGTTCTGGGACCTGGAAGTCTGGGACACCGCGACAAGACGACGGGAGCCAGCGCCAGTGGTTGTGTCCATGTTCGTGGTGGATCCGGGTCGGATTCCCCCTTCGCATCCCATCAATGGCACTTGACCCTTTTGTGCAACCGACTAACCCAGGGCCAAGAGCTGTCTGGACTATGTAATTTGCTGTGTGTCGGAGGTGAGCGACGACAAGGTGTCCTTTGTCTTTCTTTTGGTTTATTTTTCTCTCTCTCTCTCTCTCTATTGACAATCCTCGTGTTCCCCCACATCCCCTCGAAAGCAATACGATCATCTCTTTGAAACCATGTCATTCATCCAATGCCCTGAACTGAACAACCTAGGCATGGATGGGATGGATCTATTTGGGATCAGCTTATATGGAACGTTGTAGTAGCCAAGCTACGTACTATTTTATTCATCACGTAGCAAGAAAAAAAGGCAACAGAGTATCCCTTCTTCATGGACTGATTCGTTCGTAAATTAAACAAACCAAAGTCTCTGTCATCTATGTTGTAGCAATGAATCAATGCATGAATCTGGCACATATTGTCTTCGTCACCTTCCTCCATTTCGAGTCCACGAATATCATCAATTGCTGCAAGTTGGACCCTCGGTACATCGCTCGGTCCCTACGCGTACCTGGTAGATATCCCAGTACCCAGCTCCTTACTAGGTGCTCGAGTGAGTGCCAGAAGTGTTCTAGAATCTCTCGTTCCCGCTGCAACAACGCTCCCTTCAAACACCATGACATTTCTGCACCGTCCTCATACCGGACCTCGACATATGTACGTGGTACCGTCAGTAACATGTAGACTCAACAGGTACAAGATTGAGATATTGTGCACACAAGCACAAACAAACACAAACTGGTAGAACGAGACTCGCAAAAAAAAAAAAAAAAAAGACTCGATCGATAGATGGTATTCGAGGTCCCCACCCCCTGTCTGACTTCTATTCAAACACGCAGCCAAAGAGAGGAGCCTGGGCGCGGGTGTAATTAAAACAAGGGAAGAAAAAAAGAGAGTCATTTGACGCGACGCACCAGAGAGGCTCCAGAAGTCATCGAACCAGTCCCAATTGAGAAAGGTTTACCCTGGCTGCCCCTTGAAGCCAACCTAACTATTTTCTCCGCATTGCATTGGATCTGCTGCTGGCCTGTCCTGTCTTGTCCGTCTCTGGTCTTCTTGTCCCATCAAAAATCGAACGCAGCGCGGCGGCGGCGCACCACTCACTCGCTCACTCACTGACCAAGAGGGACCCGGACCCCACCCAACGGGCCCCAACTTTCTGAAAGAGCCAAAAGTAGCACCCAGACCACCATCCAGCTCGTGATTTTCTACACTGCACCTACAAACCTTCCAGCAACTTGCGCAGACCTTCTTGACAGTTGTTCTGCCTCTTTAATTTCTTCTTTCTTCTTGTTCCGTGTTCTTTCACTACTTCTTACGCTCGCTGTCCGCACCCGTTCTCCTGTTCATTCTTCACGACCAGGACCAATTTACATCCCACAACCAATCCAACATGAAGGGTAAGTTGCTCAGCTCAGGGGGTGGAAGCTCTGTCATAGGCCCCCCGCCGCCCCCCTTTAAGCTTCTCACTTGACGATTTATTCATTGCAGAGCTTCTGAAGCTGACCGTGATGTTGTTTAACAGCTCTCATTCTTGTCGGCGGCTTTGGCACCCGCCTCCGTCCTCTCGTACGTCTTTTCTCAATTGCTGCAGCTGCAGCTGCTCCAATGCCCCTATTCCAAAGGCGTGCACTTGTGGCAGCTGCGCCGATTCGCCATGAACTCAATTCGCCATACTAATCCGCCGTTGCGCCCTCCCGACAGACCCTCACTCTGCCCAAGCCTCTGGTTGAGTTTGCCAACAAGCCCATCATTGAGCACCAGATCGCTGCCCTCGCCGAGGTGGGCGTCACCGATATCGTCCTTGCCGTCAACTATAGGCCCGAGATCATGGAGACTCGTCTCAAGGAGGTTAGTTTTTGCCCTGTCCAGCTCGCAATCTGTCATCTTTGTCGTGTTCCATTGCTTATAATGTGGGTCCATCGCAGTTCTCCAAGCAGTACAACGTCAACATTGTCATCTCTGTCGAGAGCGAACCCCTGGGCACTGCCGGTCCCTTGAAGCTGGCGGAAGAGATTCTTGCCAAGGACGACTCTCCCTTCTTCGTGCTCAACGCTGATGTCACATGCGAGTACCCCTTCAAGGCACTGGCCGAGTTCCACCAGGCCCACGGTGATGAGGGAACCATTGTCGTGACCAAGGTCGAGGAGCCTTCCAAGTACGGTGTCATTGTGCACAAGCCCAACCACCCCTCGCGAATTGACCGCTTCGTTGAGAAGCCCGTCGAGTTTGTTGGTAACCGAATCAACGCCGGTCTGTACATCCTCAACACCTCCATCCTGAACCGCATTGAGAAGAACCGCCCAACCTCGATCGAGCAGGAGACCTTCCCTGCTGTCGTCAAGGACGGCCAGTTGCACTCCTTTGACCTGGACGGTTTCTGGATGGACATGGGTCAGCCCAAGGACTACCTTACCGGTACTTGCCTGTACCTGTCCTCTCTTGCCAAGAAGTCGCCCGAGCTCTTGACACCCAACTCGGAGCCCTATGTCTACGGTGGCAACGTTCTTGTTGACCCCAGTGCAAAGATTGGCAAGAACTGCCGCATCGGTCCCAACGTGGTCATTGGCAAGGACGTTGTCATTGGCGATGGTGTCCGTCTGCAGCGATGCACTCTGCTGCCAGGATCCAAGGTCAAGGACCATGCCTGGGTCAAGAGCACCATTGTCGGCTGGAACAGCAGCGTCGGCAAGTGGGCCCGTCTCGAGAACGTCACCGTACTGGGTGACGATGTCACCATTGGCGATGAGATCTACGTCAACGGCGGCAGCGTCTTGCCCCACAAGAGCATCAAGGCCAACGTTGATGTTCCCGCCATCATCATGTAGAGTGGCCTTTTTCGACTACTCTACACGAATCTACTGCCAATTCTGACTTGTTTCGGTGTATATTCTGGCAATCCGATTTTCCCCCTTATACGATTTGATAATCAACGTTTCCTTCCTGCGTTTTGATGGACCAGAACCTTCTCCCCTCGACACTATATTTCAGTTTCAACTATGATTGCGGAAACCGGGCGTTCGTGCCACGGTTATGAAAACTCGACGTCCTCGGTTTTGAAAAATGGGCCTCGGACTTTTGCGGTGTATGGCACTTTGCTGGGCCACGTCACCGTCGACGATGTATTGGAAGGACACTGTCTTTTGGATCGGCACCAAAAGAATTCCTCTCTGAACCGAGAGGATGAGTTACAAGAGACGCTCTTCTCATTACAAAAAGAAGAAAAGAAGAAAAAAAAAAAAGTAGCGTGCGTGCGCAGCATGAGCGAATAATGATTTGCATTGGTTGACATTGCATGGCATGCGAGGGGGGGTTTATGAATATTTGGTAATCCTCCCTTTCTAGAGCGTATACTAGACCGATTCCCCGGGCTGTCCCGAGTCTTTACGGTAATGAAGATCACTTGGACACTGCCGACTCGTGGGAACGTGTTCTGGTGGCCGGTCTAGGGAAAGGCTACCTGGAGTTGATGGCTGTTGAGCGTGGTGTTTTGCCAGCTGGATGAGCTTAGATAAAACAGAGACTATCTTGACTGGTAGTCAACAAGCAGATAGCTGATCAAGATTTCACGATGGTATGAGCACATGCTATCAGACTAATCATCGATCACGAGGGCTATGGCTCGCCTACTGCGGCGTGAAACTCGAGAATAAAAACGGCTTTTGTATTTTAGTATGACTTTTGAAAACGCCATTGTGAACCTGTTTCCGAGGACGCTCTACCTGCTGCAGAGGGGCCCCCAAACATGTGTGATCAGCCCACATTAGATGCGTGCTTCAATTTACGAGAAGTAAATTCGGAATGGCTGTGCTTGCATTGAATTCGGATATGGACATTGGTCCCTAATCAAGGAAACAAAGAAGTAGAAAACAGAACTATAATATGACGGTTTACCAAGCTGAACATGATATCCATGTTTCCAGTGACCGACGGAGTCAAATACTTGCCGTATTGCCAAAGCAAGTGGTGTTGACCAAAGGAGAAAACAGAAAAAGAAAAGACGAGGATGGAGAGACAGTGTCATTGCATTGTCAAGAGGGGAGAGCAAGGAAATCAGAATGGTGATGATGGGCCAAGCATGTAAAGCATTGGGCAATTGCCTGTAAATGGTCACTGGCATTTCAAGTTGAGATACTTCCATGAATAAAGAGAATATCTTGCAAGTGCTGATGAAGCAACCATGTTCTGTGGATCAAGAATCATCTTTATCAAAGCAGAGGAAGCTGATAGTTTCTTGAACAAATTTTTTATGGTATTAGGTATTTGATTGATTATGTGCGTCTCGAATTCTGAGTAGCCGCATCGAAATATATACAGTTTCAAGCTTTATATCGCTTCTTGAAAGGGGGAATAACAATTCTCGCTAGTCAAAGCGGACCCCTCTCATTTCCATATCATCAGATCTTTAACCCTCCAGTACGCCCACACTGAACTCCGAGCAATGCAAAACCCAAACAAGACCCCCGATTCACGGGATGGTCTGCGTGCCGCTTCCCTGCAAAAAATGAATGTCCAACCTTAGACACAAAACCCGTACACCATAGATCAATCATGATGCTGTACATGGCGGGGAAAAGTGAGAGAGAAAACGTCAAAACAGAGAATGAATCTAGTCAAGATGGGAAGAGCTTTAAAAGTCATCATCCTCATCCTCCGAGTCGTCCACGACCCAGCCTCTGCTCATTTCGACGGCACGCTCCCATTTGCCGTACATCTTGGCGACTTTTCTCTTCTCCATTTCGGGAACGAATTCTCTGCGCCCTTGCTTGCCCTTCATGATGTTTTGAATTTGCTTCAAGCTTGACCAGCAGTCGCGGTGAGCAATACCGGCAGCAATGGCGGCTCCGAGAGCAGTGGTTTCGCGCATGGCGGGACGCTCGACGCGAATGCCGGAGAGATCGGCTTGTGTTTGCATAGTCAGGTCGCTGTTGGACATGCCACCGTCCACAGCCAGGGATTCCAGTCGGTGACCCGAGTCCTTCTCCATGGCGTCAAGAATTGCGCGTGTCTGGAAGCAGGTAGCCTCGAGGGTAGCACGAGCGATATGGCCCTTCTTGGTGTGCTGTGTAATGCCGACTGGGAGGTACAGTTAGTAAGATGGGACAAAATAGACGAGCGACGTTGCAGATGGTACTTACAAAGTGTGCCTTTGGCGTCATCAATCCAGTATGGCGCAAACAGACCACTGAAAGCAGTGACAAAGATGACGCCGCCATTGTCACCAACACTCTCGGCAAGCTCCGTGATTCTCTTGGAATCTCTCTCGAAACCCAGGTTGTGCAATAGGAACTTTACACCAGATCCACCAACAGCGATACTGCCTTCAAGCGCGTAAACTGGTTTTCCATTGTCACCAAAGTCATAGGCAACGGTACTGAGCAGGCCGTACTTGGAGATGACGGGCTCATCGCCAACGTTGTACAGCAAGAAACATCCAGTACCATATGTGTTCTTGGCCTGTCCAGGTTGGAAACCGCACTGGCCAACAAGCGCTGCCGATTGGTCTCCCAAGCATCCGCAGATCTTTACTCCGGCCAAAACGCCTGAGTCGATCTTGCCGTACATCTTTGGGCACGACGAGGGTACGATCTCTGGGAGTGCTACCTTGGTAGGGTCGATTTCGAAGAATGACAACAGGTCATCGTCATACTTCAGAGTTCTCAAGTTCATAAACATGGTGCGGCTAGCATTGGTGGTGTCGGTGACATGCACATTGTTCTTGGGGCCACCATTGAGCTTGTAAATCAGCCAAGTGTCTACAGTTCCAAATGCAAGGCGTTTCTCGTCATAGGACTGCTTGACGGCTTGATCATTCCGGAGCAACCACATCAATTTGACGCTGGAGGGGTATGTGCTCAGGGGAAGACCGGTGCGCTCAAGGATCATCTCGGCACCCTGCTTCATCTTGAGCTCGCGGACGAGGTCTTTTGTACGGGTGTCTGGCCAGACGACGGCATTGCCCAGGGGCTCTCCAGTGTGCTTGTCCCAGCAAAGAGTCGTCTCCCGCTGGTTTGTGATGCCGATTGCTCTCAGTTGCGATACAGACCAGCCTTGCGAGGTAAATTGCTTGACGGCTTCGTCCATGCAGTCTTCTACTGACTTGATGAGGTCATACGGATCGTGCTCGTGCCATCTGCGAGTGGAATTCTTGATTAGTCGATATTCCGCCACCGGGGAGGATGATAAAATTGAGGATTGTATACTCACCCCGACTCTGGATAGTGGTTTTCAAACTCGATCTGGTGGCTAGCCACAATATCCGCTTGACTGCTGAAAATAATGAAGCGAGTAGATGTTGTTCCCTGGTCAACACTGCCAATGAACCATTCGTCCGGGTTGGGGTTTGGCTTTGTGCCGTTTACGCCGTTGGTTGTGTGCTCGCCATTGACGCCATTGACACCGTTAGTCTTGTGCTCTCCGTTTACACCATTGACACCATTGGTGTCGGTTGCACCGTTTGTCGCATGCATATTGTTGCTAGGCGTTGCAATTTGTTGGCAATGGTAAAAATCCTTGGTCATACAGGTTTCTGCGTATGACGTAGTTGTGAAGGCTCTCGTCAGGAACAGAGACAAAGATGGAGCAAATCCGTTGCTTCTGGGCCTGGTGGTGAGAGCCTGGGTAGAGGGGATGGAGGTGACAGAGTATGAGGAGTATGATAGAAGAACAGAAGAATGAGCCGACAAGTCTGGCACGAAGAGGGAGGCCTGGCCCTAGCTATATGGACGACGGCCGCGGCGGCGGAAAGGGCGAGGGAAATTGGTAGCCGGGGGGTGGGCCGATGCAGGAGGGATTGATATTATCGTGGGGGTTGAGTCAAGCCTAGAACTGGGGCGGGTATGGTGTTGAGAATAGTGCTTGCAGCTAACAGCGGAAGGCAAGAGTAAGCGCGTGTATAGTATAGGGGCTCTTGCGCCTTGTCGTGGGCCAAAGGAGGTAGCGGAAGAAGTATTTATAGCACCGACTGGTGATGTAGTTGAAGACACAAGTGATGAGTAGTAGTGTAGGAGATCTTTACGGAAGAAAGAGGAGGAGAAGAGAGAGGACAGGCAGGAAGAGGAAGAAGAGGAGGGCATCTTTGGTCCCTAAATGTGGCTGGCACAGACAGCAGGTCTTGGTATCCAAGCCTGTGCAAGCAAGCATATAGTTACGTATGTATCAAATTGGCATAGAGGAGGGGGTGTGCGTGTGTGTGTGTGCCCCAGTCCCCCGTTCAGTGTCCCAAGGTACTTCGTACGGGGCAGTTTAGTCTGGGATTGGAGGGGAGGCGGATTCTCTCTTTTCGATACAACGCAGCACGCAACAGCCAAGCAGAGAGCGGCAGGCTGTGAGTATGACTGATGACTGGAGCATGGGCGAGAGGCGAGCGAGCAGGTAGACGACGTGCTGGGGTGGGCACTGTGGCAGGCCAGGTCTGGGTGCAGGTAAAAGGTATGATCTGGGCAGGGTGCAGCTGGGAGCTGGGGGGTCCTCTGGGTTCTCTGGTCACGGAAGTGTCGATTTTTCCATAGAAGAATTGTCAACCCTGCAAGGCGCATATACTGTGCTGCTGCAAGTATCAAATCAGCAGAGAAAAAAATGTGTGTGCGTTGCAACGGACCAAACAGGCGGGCTTGTGATAGTCGAGCTGCAAGGGCGGTTCTAGGCCGGACAAGAAAAAAAAATAAGTTCGAAAACGCGGCCTGGTCATGCGCCCGAAGACTGGAGAAACCCACATCTTGACACTTTAGTGGACTCCTTGGTTCTGCGGGGCCTGGAGATCTGCTGTGGAGTTGGAACTTGGGATTGCATTCAAAAGTGAACTTCCCAGTCGGCTTGGGTTTGCTTGGCGGGGATCTTGGGGCGTTGCTAGTGGGGGCGCAACCTTTGGAAACATTTGGACTTGCCTGCTGCTCGGGGAATGCTGCAACCAGTGCGCTCAAGCAAAGGCACTCCTTTTTTTCTTTTCTTCTCCTTCTCTCTCTTCTCCTCGTCCTTCCATTCAGTAGTACGTAGTCTATTTGGAACTTGAGAAAACATGGATACTGGAGAAAAGCACCATCCGCGCCCTGAACCTGAACCTTGAAACCATGCGCTGACAGGGGCAATAACGGAATGGCAAATCTTATACTCGACCAACGTGATTGAGCCTAACTTATTATGATCAACTCTGTTTCTGTCGTGTCCTTGATGAACGGTGGTGTTTCTGCCCTACTGTCTCCCATACCGTGCTCGGCCTCGCTCATGTTCGGATAAGCCCATTTGAGGATCCGGCAACGCCAACAATGCATCATGTAGTAGTGCAGTACCTACGTACTTCAAAGTGTACGGAGCAGTATCACCGGTCCATACATATCATGGCTTTTCCAACAAAACGGTCCCGTTCACCGCGTTGGTGGGGTTGTGAGCGAGGACTTGACTGGCATCTGCCTTCGAGCTTCTCACGCCTTTAGCCAAGCTTGACATCATATTGGTGGGCAAACCTGTTGCCGATGGCCGATCCATCGAATCCACCAGTCAGAGGAATTATGGGCCTTGACAGCTGCCCTCAGTTGAGCTGCTTTCCAGATAGAGCTCTGACCCGACCGTGATTGGTCAATCTCTGCGCCGCCGCCCAGCCGGTTTTGGCACCTTGTCGCAAAACAGAAACGTCGACGTCAAGATTACATCGAGATCCCATCCGGTTCAGAGCAAATGGGATTTATAGGCTACATAGCATAATACACCCAGCTGATCAGCCTTACCTATGACATGTATGCTGGGATTCGGTCCAATGCTCGGGCACAACAAGACTATTGCAAACGTATATTCGACATCATACTTTTCTCTGTGCACCGGATATACCAAATATGTTGTTGCAGAGTAGGTTGGTAGGGTTAGACCGTCAGTGTCCCTCAGTCAGTCAGTATTACATGTCTGACTCGGTCCGTTTCCCCATGGCCTCCCCAGAGCTTAAGCCGTGTGTCTCCCCTCCCCTCTCTCTCCCACCTTTTCTGCCTTGTCTCATCTTCCACCTTGGACATGGCCTTTTCTCCAGACGGACTAACCCGACAATGCCGGGGCACCACCAGTCAACAACCACTGGCACCTCAACCAGGTGTCAGCATTTTAACTGGGGCTCGGAGAGTCGCGGTTCGTTCGTCGGAAAAAGAAGAGCGGTAGAAACAGCAACAGCAGGAAGGAGTGAGTGAGACTGTTGTTTGTCGTGTCGGATCGTATCATCGCTTCTCGTAATCGCTAAATTTGTCCGTCCGTGATTATTTGATAATTGATTCGGCATGAGTTGTCGCGTCGAACCTCGTTTCGCGAACCCCCCACGGCCACGGCGCAAGAGTTTTGGCACTAGAACCTAACCTCTGTCCTCCGAATAAAGGTGCGAGCGTTGTTCGTGCGTCCGGTCGACATCTCCGGCGTGCCGCTGGGCTGCGCTTCACTGCTTGCCCCTGGGGGTCCCTGGTTCGTTCGGTACAGTATGGGCCCGTTCCTATTCCATGCCATGCAGCAGCTGGTGCAGTGCAGATGCCATGCCATGCCATGCCCGCGCCCTACCCTGCCCTTTTTTTCAAAGCTGCAAGTTTATAATGTTGTTACCACTATCAGCGACATCCACTTCGGTTGGCACCATCCCCAGGCGCTCCCCCCATCCAATCAACCCGGCTCACCTCGACGGAATTGGGTAGACCACAAATGTCGTCTTGGCATTTTTGATGCATTGCCCAGGTTGATCTCCAGACTATTTGCGTCCAGACCACACAGCGCACAGGTGTTGGGCTTCTACGGGTAGGTACATAGTGAGTGGTCCAGGATTCACAATCGCCCTCACCTTTTGACTAGCGTTGGTGGGCGACAACAGACCCTCACAAGCTGGCAACTCTATACTATAATAAATAACCATCAATTGGCATTCCCGCGCTTCGCCCTGCTATCTTTGGATCGTTATGTGCGCATTTGCCAAAACATCACGAACTTGTTCCAAGTGAATCGGTGTTCCCTTTGCTTCTCCGTCTCTCAATCGTGTCAATTTTATTTCATTTCTTTCCCCTCCCCGATCCCGGATCATCATGGCTGTGCCTTTTTTTTTTTGCCGCCCTGGCTAGTTTCGGGCTCCGACGCATCCCACGAAAGTACGTGTACCCCTTATCGGAACGGACCAGAATTCATGCAATTCGACAAATTTCTTTTCCATCAGGTGAACTCCAAAGGCGGGGCCCCAACATCGTGAAGTTTGCCGTCGCGTCCCATTCCACTACCACGTCTCCTGCATCTTTCCCCTCTTTATTTTTTCTGCTTTCCAGATCTGCCGCACTGCAACCCAACACGAGCCCGCATTGTTCATATCTGATCTACATTATATTTCCGATTCCAAATTCCTTTATTCTGAGAGAGCAATTTTTACGAGACGCATGACCATGCACGACCCCCCTTACCTACTACCTTCTCGCCTCTTACCTACATGAATGAATTTGTACGGGCGCCACCTTCGCTTGAGACACACACACACACACACATACGGAAAGAGACAGAGAGCTCCCAACTGTTCACAGTGCACGTATCCGAAACAGCACACCACGACACAATAAGCACGTCCATACCCACCGAATCGTGCCTTTTAAAGATAAAGCGAGATTATCAATCATTTCACATGCCTCAAGTGATCATGGCAATCTTCCGCCCGGGACGAACTCCTCTGTCTTTTCTGTTCTCTTCTCCTCCCTCGTGTCCTCTCTTTCTCTCTCTTGTACCTGATTCCCCATACACTGTACGGAGTAATCGCTGTAGTTTATCCGTTAAGGGCCGTGTAGACCTGCGCGGCTGCATATGTAGATCGGCATCCTAGTATACTAGTCCAACTCCAACCATCTGTAAACCAGTAGTCCAGACTCTTCTTTCGAGCCCCGGACCGTCAAACGGCCTCGAGCGGATCGGCGGCGCGCATTAGCTGTCCATTTCTCATGCGGCTCTGACTGTTCGCGCCAGGAGTGGACTTGCGGCGTGAACTCTGGGACTAACAGAGTTTTTGTCGGCCGGCATTGATCAACATGGAAGCGATATATCCATCAAAGTCCAAGGTTGCTTACTACCGGCTTTACTCGCTCTTGCAATATCCAAGCTTTTCTAAATTTGGGAACAAAGTCTCATGGTCTCGGAATAAACCCCCAGCCCCGTGTCCTTCTATAGTCGGTTTGAAATATGCTATAGTATGATTGATGCAACATTGCGAGTATCATGGTGCGACCTTTCACTTTAGAATGCTGTCCACTTCATCCCATTATTTTCTACTTTCGAAACTAATTCAACACAACCCTTCCAATGAGTAAGTACACCGCTAAAAATTAATACACGGCAGATTTCTATCACCGCTCACTGTCGATGCGTGAACTTTTGGCGTATCCTTTTAGTTGACTCCACCCCCTTTTGTTTCCTATAATCCCATCCGCACTATAGTAGTCCCCTCCATGATCTTCCTTCACAGCCACCACACTCCCGCGCCCGCTAGACATAGCACGAGCCGATCTCTAAACCACATACGACACGGCAGAGAGTATATGGGAAAGCGGGAAAGAAAGAAAAATAAAATTCAGGATATCGGTCTAAGATAGGGACCCATATATAGGCGCTAACCTCACCGCGAGACTGATAGATCTAGCCACAGGCCTGGAACCATTGCTGAATCATCCACCCATCCTCGGTCGTCTTTCCAAGTCCTTGGACCGTCTCTGATAGGATATGACCCTTCCTTCCCTTCCTTAACCCAACCCTCCCTTGTCACTATACTCCCTCCCTCTTCCGCCTTTCTCTCCAAGCCGGGTTGCCCCTTGTCCAGCGCTCATCAGGGTTCCCCAAGGGAACAGGGTCGGCGTACATCTCCCGAATGCAAGAAACCCGAGAGAGGGTTTCCCCCCACGTCTTAACAGGGTAAAAACTTTAATGCACCCGTGGGGTTAGGATGAAAAACCCACGTGTTTTCTGGCTTGGCTTGGCTTCTTTGCTACATATAATAGACCTAGTGCTCGGCTCCGGGAATGGAAATGCCGGTGGGAGATTATCCACTTCTTTTCCGGGAGTGGAGATGGTAATACCGGGCCACGGGTGTCACATGGCTTGGTACTGTCGTGAGTTTTATCTTCCTCAGCGGGACGGAAAGGAAGAGTGAGCGATGTTTCTGATGCTGGTGTAAAAACCCGAGTATCCCGCTCGGGAAGTAGGCCAGGAGACACTACGGGAGCCTGGAGGGGAGACTTTGAGCCATGGTCATGGTTTACCGTCGTCTGGTCCCGAGTATGGGTGTCCACCGTGGAAAGGGAGCTGTGGTGGTTGTTGATTCTGTTTGAAGAGCTGGAGCTGCGCCTTTGTTCTTCCCGAGCCCATAATAGGTCGATGGGTATCAAGCGCGGCGTTGGTGGCATGACCGGTTCACGTCGTAGGAGCGGATAACGAAGAGGGTTTCCAAGAGTCAAGGCTCTACGAGTTGGTCTGTGTCGCGAGTGGAACGTTCGCACCGTCCCTCTACGAGGTGGAGGATCATTCGTAGTGTTTGGATCTTCTTCCCATTTTGCCTCTCTGGAGATATGCGGTGCGACAGTGGCTGTTAGGTCAAGCGTTATATCTTTTGCTGATGCAGAAAAGTTTTGAGTATGGGAAGGGGAGGAGTGAACATGGTGCACAAGTGCCATATCGACGTTGATATATATACTGATGACTCCCCTTAGAGATCAGTGGCGGAGAAGGGCAGAGTTTTTATTTTCTCCCTTCCAAGTTCATGTGTTGGCCAAAACATACTTTTCTATCGCCGACGACCAGCAGTGTCCTGGCATATATGTACACCTTGATGAACCATCAAACATGATGACAAGAGCCGAGGGCATCTAAAGTGTCGGATGAGCTAATCAACCGATGCAAAACAAACAACACCTCAATGCGATTTATTTGCAAGCAACGTGTTGCCATTGCCAGTGTTAGCAATTCTTGCAATCAGCACGCATTCCTTGATCGGCTCTTTGACGGCAGTATTGTATGGAGATAATTATATGCCCTGTTTAAAAGCACTATGGTATTATGATTAACAATATCTGTGCTATTTGTAGCATTCAAGCCGTCTTCATCCCATGAATAGGGTATCAAGTCCCCATCTTAAATAGCATTGTTATGATTCTTTCCTTGTACAGTTCCTTCGATGATAGTGCTTGATTTACCAACTCAATGGTGGCCTTATTGCGACGCTGTTATGACATACAAATATCATGATGTTTGTAGTGGTTTGAATGTCGATTATAACTCAGCCGTTCTCCAACTTTCTGGACCATCGATCCACAAGTTTTTTCAGGTATAAGACAATGCCAGTTTAATTAGCAAAATACAAGTTAGTCTCAGAATACACGAATAAATGGTGATAGTCATAGCTTGTGGCTGCCCATAAGCACACTCAGAAGTGAATTGAACCCAAGAATGTATTCTTGCTGGAGAATACATGTACGTACTCAACTCAGACAAGTTGCTTGCCATTACATTCACTATAACGGCAGCAAGTTCGAATTGTCACAATCATTCTAATATGCGCATGTTACGAGAAGACATTTGTAATTGTCAACCAAGAAACGAAGCTCTAATTTTTAGAAACACACCAACTGTAAAGCCCTCTGTATCTACATGAGAAAAAAAATCTGTTGTCCCAGGGAGAAACGAAGTAGGAAAACCAAAAAAGATATGAACCATTAATACGTAGTAAAGTTAGGATACATGCGATAATGCCCATCGATGATCAGTCTCTAGGCCTCTAACTACCCCTGCTGTCGATGCACAAATACAACACACGCGCACGCACACACACACACGCTTGCCGAAGCAAGGAAATGCAGCCCACAAGGCAAGTGTCATGACCAGGAAGCGAGAAGAGATGACGGCCTGTGGGAAGGGATAGACGGGACATCTTAGACCAGACCGCCCTGGGTGGGGACAGGGTCCGGGTCCGAACCGTCGTCGTCAGTCGGGTCCGCGCCCGAACCATCGTCGTCAGTTGGGTCGACATCATCACTGGTCTGCTCCGGGTCAGCGCTGGTGGTAGTTGTTGTTGTTTCAGTGGTGGTGACGGTGACTTCGAATTCGAAAGAGCCCGTCGGGTTGCCAATGCCGTAGCCGTATCCCCAGCCGGTATACTCGGGGTTGGGAGGACTGGTGATGACGGGGTCGACGCCTCCATTAACACCGTATCCTCCAGAGTTGCCATAGTCTCCGCTGCCGCCATTGTAGGCAGGGTCGCTCCCACCATCATAGCCACCATTGCCGTAGCTTCCCTTGCCGCCATCGTAGCCACCATCGTAGCCACCATTGCCGTAGCTTCCCTTGCCACCCTCGTAGTCAGGGCTGCTGCCACCATCATAGCCACCACCTCCGTAGCCGCCTTTGCCACCTTCATAACCTCCATCACTACCTCCGTAACCACCTTTGCCACCTTCATAACCTCCATCGCCACCTTTGCCACCTTCATAACCTCCATCGCCACCTCCATTGCCGTAGCCACCTTTGCCACCCTCGTAGTCAGGGCTGCTGCCGCCCTCGTAGCCGCCGTCGTTGCCTCCGTAGCCACCTTTGCCACCTTCATAGCCGCCATCACCGCCACCACCGTAGCCGCCGTTGCCACCCTTACCGCCACCATATCCACCCTCTTGACCACCTCCATAGCCGCCGGAGCCGCCGGAGCCACTGGAGCCGCTCTCGCCGCCTCCATAGCCACCTTGGCCACCGTGACCACCTTCATCACCGCCATAGCCACCGGAGCCGCTCTC